GGCGGTCAAGTGGTTGTCACGTTAAAAATCATTTGAACACACGTTACATCTTATTGCTTCTTTCATTTTCGGGTCCTAATCTTTATGATCTTGCTGTTTCATGAACTTGCCAGATTGTGTCAACTGGTCCTAATCCTGAGTGGGATGAGAGCTTTGCATGGTCCTTTGAGAGTCCTCCGAAAGGCCAGAAACTTCACATCTCTTGCAAGAACAAGAGTAAAATGGGAAAGGTAATTGAACCGGAAAGACTAAAACTAAAAATTCAGTTCTCCACATTCTTATTCATATTTTACTAAACTCAACCTTACTTTTGATTTTGACAACAGAGTTCTTTTGGTAAAGTAACCATCCAAATCGACCGAGTAGTGATGCTCGGAGCCGTTGCCGGCGAATACACACTATTGCCGGAAAGCAAGAGCGGCCCATCCCGGAATCTGGAAATAGAATTCCAATGGTCCAATAAGTAATAACCCAATACAGAAGTAATTATCGTCGCTGCAAATTTAATCTTGTAGGTGAAAAATATGGTCAAGTAGAGAATTCTTTTAAACTTTTTCGTTGCTTGTTTGATCCAACATTTCACTTATTTATTAGTGTATATAGCATTGCAGAGATTTTAATTTTTGTTATTAGTCTTGAAAATAGCCATTTCTATTGTATTCTTTTTGTAACTTGATGTTCTTACATTTGATGAACAAGAAGAATATTTGAGGTTTCTTAGTAATATTTGCACTGAATTTGTGTGCTGGTCAATGTGAAAGTAAAAATAAGGATACCGCTTCTGGTTTTGTTTTTGTGGTAGTAAATTGCAAGTTTGAAAAGATTGTTGACTAATTTGAGAAGTTGCAATATTTTGTTTCTTGTGTTAAGTATTTTATATTTATTGTACATTTGGAAGTATTTTCAAGTAGTGAAAAAATGTTTTTTTTTTTTTTTAATTACTTATTTTGTAGTTTTTGTTTAAATGTTTGAAACATTTTTTTATTGATAATCCAAAAATCCTTGATCTTGCATTGTGAAAGTTCGAATTGGAGTCTCATCGAACCTTACAATCTCTTGAAAACGAGAAATAATGACCCAAATCTTGTGAAAATAAACTAAGGATTTTGGGGGTAAAAGATACTTTTTAAAAAATCTAAAATAGTTTTCTTAAAATACTAATTGTCAAATAAAATATTTTAATAAACCATTTATTATTTTACAACTATTAAAACATTTGTATATAAAACTAAAATATAGTATCGATATTCAATAATATTTAAATTCAATTTTAATTATGGTAATAACCCTTTTTAAAGATGAAAATTCTCATTTATTTTTTTTACTCTGAGGTTTGGTTAAATTTTAAATAGTCTTGGTTTGCAAAAATAGCAAGGACTTATAGCGAAAAAATTCTAATAAATTTAACCACTTGGCTTGCCGCTTGTGGTCGGATGGTAAGACTTTAGGTTATTCAGAAGTCTTGTATTCGAGTCTTACTAGGTAACTACTTATTACATTTGTGATTTACCTGTCTATTAAGCTTTTAAGGTGTTAAATATATCTCGAAAATTAGTTAAGGTACACACATTTTGGCCCGGACACCTGGTCACCAAAAAAAAAAAAAAAAAAAAAAAAAAGGGTCTATTTAAATGAATTTCTATCTATTTTCCAAATTTGGTAAAGATATTTTCAAGTAAAAACACTTTAAGAAAAGCACTTTCAGCTCTTTTATGTGTGGCCTTTTCCATATAGCACAATATCTTTTGGTCCATTATTGCAATTCCCTTTTATAGATTATCTGGTTTGTCCTGACTTGGGCGGGCCCATTGCTGGCCCAGTAGGCCGTCTCGGGCCACTAAACGGGCGGCTCTTGTTTGACCATTCGGCCACATCACATGGGTATCTTTCACTTTTTCTTTGGACCAAACCCCACAATTCCCAATTTACCCTCCGTCGTTTTATCGGATTTTTTCCTTATCTGAACTTTTATTACCTACAAAAATTGATTAATTATTAATAATATGTTATAAAGAAAATAATCTTGGGTATAGAAAAATGAAAATAAATACATGTCATAGAATTTATAAAAGTTTAAATTTCAATTCTTATTTTATTATTTCGATTTATTATTGATAATGTAATGTTTGTCTTTCTGTCATACATTGTTCATAAATCTAATATTTGGCTACATTTGGCACATTATTTTTACCTATATTTCCAATCATATTCCAAAAATATTGTTTGTTTTGTTATTTGAGAAATATTATATTTTTTAATTACTTTTAGACCCCTTAAATTTATTAATTTCATAAATACCCTTAGAAAAAAGTTTAAAAATTAACAAAAATACCCTCACCCACCCATACTTGTCAGATTCTGACAACCACTATCGGGGGTAGCTGGAATCCATCACAAAAGCCTATAAACGACCAGAACTGGTCGGTAATTCACCGATCTGGACTTTTTCGCCCGTCAACGGCCATATCTGGTTGTAGATCTGGTCTTTTTCGATCAGATCCATGGTGGATCTGGCTGGAAAAGGCCATATCGATGCCCTACCCGCCAGATCCGATCAGTCTGCGTTGTAACGCCATTTTTCGGCCAGATTCCAACGATAGTGGTCGGAATCTGGCACTGTGGGTGGGTGGGGGTGTTCTTGTCATTTTACAAAAAATTTATATATTGGGGTGTTTAGTTAAATTAGCAAACCTAGAGAGTTTTTTTTTGTAAATTTTTAAATTTTACCTCGTAATACTTCCATATTCAACTACCCAATATTATTCCTAGGGGTGTTCAGTTCTGGGTACCCTGCACTTTTTTAAGGAATTGGAACCGACGGTTCCTTGAAATTTAGAACCAGAACCGGAACCGACGGTTCCGGTTCCTAGGTACCCAGAACCAGAACCTGTAACAACGGTTTCGGTTCCAGTTCTGGGTACCTTGTATAATTACATGCCCCCCAAAAGTTTTTAAAATAGTAAAAAAACCTTAAAAACTTACAAATACCCCCCCACTTGGCACTTGTTAACAAAAATAAAATTACAAATTATAAATTCAAAATTCAAAATTCAAAATTACAAACTCCATTACTTTGTGAAGATAGATTCTCAAAAGTCAAACCAACGTACTTTAAATGTTATGAAATATAAATATAATGTATTCACATTATTTTTTCTACAAAAGTTTTTATTAACCCCCCTAATCTTTAATTTTATTTTATATTAGTCTCGGTTCCTGGTTCCTGGTTACTGGTTCTGGTTCTGGTTCCTAACTATAGGAACCGGAATCGAAACCGCATAATAACGGTTCAAAAAATTTGAAACCGGAACCTACCCATTGACGACTGGTTCTGGGTAGGAGCCGGAATGAAACCCAAGGTATCCACCGGTTTCGATTCCAACCGGTTCTTTTGAACACCTCTAAATTTATTCCCAAAATCATATCCAAAATAATAAAACAAATGGACCCTATACTTTCCAAATCTCAATTTTATTTTGTTCACCTTATTTGTTAACAAGGGTATCACTCAAATTATTTATTTTGATTATCTATTTAAGAGACATAGCATATTCTTTTTTCAAATAAAAGGGTTTTTATCAATTATAAAAGGGTTTTTATCATCGATTGAAATTTCTTACTTCATGAACTCAATAAAATTTCCTTTCTCGTAAAGGCTTAGTTATCATATTTTGGTGACTAATATATCGTTTACTTCCTTTTGATAAGAGGGGAAAAAACATGTTGTCTTTGGCCACATGTTTTTGTTGTTTCCATAAATTCGTCATTTAAATATTTCAGAAAACACATATAAAATATTTTTTAAAGTATTTCCATTCTTTTAGAAAAAAACCACCCAAAAAACAGTCTCAAATATTCAAAATATATTTAATTTTTTTTAATGGAATATTCATTTATGAGTTTAATTTATAATAAGCACTTTCAAATAAAAATATTTTCCATCAATATAAATGATATGTTGGTCATTAGTAAGTACTACAGACCCTTTACTGTAATTTCAAAAGTTCGACATGGGCCCACTTTCAGACAAGACATCCTTCGCCAATCAAAGCACTTTGTTTTCTCTGATACGTAAAGTAACCGGGACCACTACGTGGCAAAGTTTCAACGAACCTCATAATTAAATTTTCAGATAATTTCACTTAAATCTCTAATGTTTGTAAGACTCTAAAGCAGTCCTTATAGATTTAAAAGCCATCACAAAAGCTCCTAATATTTTTAACTATTAGTTGAAATATAACATTGCCCCTCGAAAGGTAGCCTAAAAGGGAGGATCTCAAGGGTATAGAAGTAAATTTACCCTTATTAGACTACTTAGCTGTCGAGGGTTTGGGTTTGTTTTAAGTAGACACGAAGCATCTCTTATTATGAGTTTAAAATTAGTTCTAAATCGAATTTGGTATAAAATTTTGTCACGCTTAGATATGTGAATTATGTATCACTATTCAAAGTTGATGGAATTTTTTTTTTTTTGTAACCTACGTGTTCGGACTAGCTTATACGTACCTCAACTAATTTTGAGATCTATTAGATACCCTACAAGATAAATGATTAGATAAACTATAATATTATTGTGATAAGTGACCCTAAAATTTGAACATAAAAACCCAAAGAAACGAGTAAGTCTCTTTTATTGTCAGACCAACTCTTTTTACATAAATTTTAAATTGTTGAATTAATATATTTCAAGTGATTGATATTCAACGTAACATACATAATTAATTGTGTAAATAAAATGTATTTTACATATAATCTAAACATTCGAATTATATTGGTACTGATAACTCATATTTCATATCATACTTTATGTTTTCCCACAATACCACCTCTATTTTTTTACGCACTTTAAAATTTAAAGTAAAGTTGAGGGACCTTAAAAATATTATCCCTTAAACTCAAATCAGATAAATACTAAACAATTAAAAGTTTTCATTTCGCACCTCCACCTCCACCTGCACCTTCTTCACCTTCACTCGCTTCTCTCTTCTTCCAAGTTCCACCATCACTTGCACCTCCAAAACGACACCGCCTCGCTGCCTTTCAGCCATGAAGAGCGGATCTCTGCTGATATACTACGTGATAGTGGCTTCTTTGGTCGGTAGCGGAGTCGCGAAAACGACGACGTATTCGACTCGACTGATTCACAGATTCTCGGAGGAAGTTAAGGCTAGAAATGGAAATGTGACGACGTGGCCGGTGAAGAGGAGCTTTGAGTACTACCAGTTGCTCCTCAGTAGTGATTTCCAGAAGCAGAAGATGAAGCTCGTTCCGAAGTTTCAGCATCTTTTTCCTTCTCAAGGCAGCAAAACGATGTCGCTTGGAAATGACTTCGGCTGGTATGCTCTTTTCTTTTTCCTTCTAAGTTTTGAAAATTCTCTATGTGTTGCCGGTAAGGTTACCAAAGTTCATTTTTTCTTAACCAGTAACGTTTATCGTGCTTAGCAATGCACTTTTTCTTTTTTGTATATATTTTTTTTAATTCTGTGCTGAAGACTAACTGTATTACCGGTAACGTGCTGAATCTTTTTAATCAATTTATAAAGAGAATCAGTAACGTTATCGAACTCCTGGTATTGTTATTAGAGCCGGTAAGATAAATTTTAATTATTTTTTAATAGTTTGTCTCTGAAAATAACTATGTTACCGGTAATGTTACTGGCATTCAACCGGATTACCGTGATGTATATTTTTGTAGGGTTAGACTGTGGGACTGAGGTAATGTTACTTTGTTATGAGTCTTGAATTTTCACCTTAGAATTTAGGGTGGCAATCCGAAGATCACGGTGGGTAACATTATTGTCGGTAATGCTATGATCCTGGTCCAGTATTGTTATTGAGAGTCTCTTGGAGTTGCAATCCTGTAATGTTATTCCTAATATGGGTTACTGATACGGTACTGGGTTACTGGGCCAGCAAGAGAGCCATTATCACTGATATGAAAGGGCTTTTTTAGGGGCTTAACTACCATACCTGCCTTTGGATCATGGTCCAAGGGTTCATAGTCAACCCTTGTACCATGATACAATGGCTGGTATAGCGTTACCCTAGCAAGTTTAGCTATATCCTTTGTTAATTTACAGGGGTTGTAGCAGTTCCTGTAACATTACCAGATACTCATAACATTTAGCAATTAACATTTCACAGGTATTCATTGCATGACGTAAATGTGATGATTAATTAATGTTTATAGCTCGTTTTGGTTTTGGTAATGTTATTGATATGTTGCCCTTACCGGATGCATTTGTAGTGGGACTGTGTATACTGTTGATTGATGATGGGTGAACTGTTGTAGGTTACATTATGCTTGGATTGATATAGGGACACCGAATGTTTCGTTTCTAGTTGCATTGGATGCGGGGAGTGATCTACTTTGGGTTCCCTGTGATTGCGTACAATGCGCTCCTCTGTCTGCAAGTTACTATAATAGTCTGGTAGGCCAACCTCAGCCACCTTTCTTTGCTTGTGTTTTCAAACAATGTTTTTGCTTCTTTAATAATTGTTTTGTTTGAAAGATATTTGCTTTTCTGCCTATCAGTTGTTAATGGTTCTCCTTTTGGGAACATTTGGCCCCCCCTTTTGAAATCAAATGGGAAATTGGAATTTTATAATGTAAAAGTCATATATTCCTTTTCTTTATGGGATAAAAAATGGGTTTAAGTAAAGTTTTTATAAGAAGGAAAAGAGTTTGTGTGTGTCCGTTTGTAGTTTGCGACTGAGTTTATGAAATGGAACTCAATTATTGAAATGATAATGAATGAGCCATGTGGAAGACAATATGAAATTGATTAATTACTGTGGTTTAAGCTTTCTGTGAGAGCAAATTCCTTTGGATTATAAAAAACATGATGAGGGGAGTTGATTGGTCAGAAAACAAGGATACCTGTAAAACCAAGCTTAATTTTTATGGGGTGATGTTAAGAACTTATGGGTAAAAAGAAGTCCTTTTTTTTTCCTGTATTGTCTATTCATGGTACTCTTTACATTGAGCCAGTTCAACTAAATTGGAGCATAGAAGTATAAAGATCTAGTCGTCAACTACAACTGATGATGTGAAATGTAATAATTATTGGGGACATCTACTAACTTGCTCTTAAGAGTGGTAGATTAGGAACATTATATTAGTTTTCCATTGAAAATGTGAAATGGCCTTCATTTGGTGATCATTCTTAACATAAGTCAAGCTTAAATGCAGCAATTATAAGCTTCTTGAGTGAACACAGAAACGACTATTCCTTGGGTGACCTAGGCTTCTAAGTTGTGCCACTTGAGCTTCAATTTTTTTGTTGTGCCTTGTTGCGATTTAAGTTTCAATAGCATTGAATTTCAGTCCTTAAGAAGTGACACAAAAGGCGTTGTAACTTATATGCTTGCGGTTTTTTTCTCAGTTTTGAATAAGTGCTTGATGCTGATATATTAACAATTTCATAATTTGTTTCATGATAAAAATTAGCTAGTCAAAATCACCTTTTTTAACAGAGTCCCACTCACCACACTGGAGGGTGGGGATGGAGGAACAAATGAGCCTTTCAGATGCATCTAATGACCTTATTGTATGAATGGAGAATGTCAGATGCTTTTAATTAACATTTTTAGCACTTATTTTTAGATGATTGATTGGTAGGTGCTCCTTCCTGTTTGGGGGCATCTATTATGCAGGATAGAGATCTAAGTGAGTACAGTCTTTCTGGTTCAAGCACAAGCAAGAACCTATCCTGCAGCCACCAGTTATGTGACCTGGGACCAAACTGCAAAAATCCTGAGCAGCCATGCCCTTACACTATCAACTACTACACAGAAAATACCTCAAGTTCTGGATTGCTTGTTGAGGACTTGTTACATCTTGCATCTGGCGGTGACAATTTAGTAAACAAATCTGTGCAGGCTTCTGTCATAATAGGGTGTGCATTACTGATCATTCCCTGGAATACTAAATATATTTATTTGTTGCATGAACAAGTATCTATAGTTTTTTCTGACTAAAATTTCGTTGTTGCCTGTTCTCTAAGTACAGTTGTGGTATGAAGCAGAGTGGCGGTTACTTGGATGGGGTTGCCCCTGATGGTCTGATGGGGTTGGGGCTTGGGGAAGTTTCAGTTCCGAGTCTGCTTGCAAAAGCAGGATTGATTCGAAACTCCTTTTCAATGTGCTTTGATGAGGATGATTCTGGAAGAATCTTTTTTGGGGATCAAGGACCAGCAACCCAACAATCTACCGCATTCCTGTCCACAAATGGAAAATAGTATGTATCATCTATGCAGTTTGATAAAATTACTGTTTCTGTCTCAGTTAATGTTCCCTTCTTCAAGAGTTTTGTACCTTATAGATGTTAAAATCTGATTCAGCATTACCTACACCGTTGGAGTTGAGGACTGCTGTATTGAAAGTTCTTGTCTCAAGCAGACAAGCTTCACAGCTCTTCTTGATAGTGGGTCATCATTTACATTTCTTCCTAATGAAGTTTTTGAAAGAGTTGCCCAGGAGGTACCCCCATTGAGATTTAACTTCATACATAATAATGGTTTTATTGTTTATCTGTCTAATGTAAATGTCATTTTTGATAGTTTGACAGACAAATAAATGCTACAATCTCTAGCTTTGAAGGTTATCCTTGGAAATATTGCTACAAGTCCAGGTAGTTGGCATGAACTTACAAATTTTAACTGCTTCTCTCGGTTTTGTGCTAATACGCACTTTCATTTTCCTTCTGTGAAACAGTTTGCAGGAGCCACCCAAGGTTCCTTTGGTTAAACTCAGATTTCCACAGAACAACAGCTTTGTGGTCCATAATCCTGTTTTCATGATCTATGGCATTCAGGTGGGTAGTCTTCTAACATTTATAGAATTTTTGAAGTACTGGTTTTGAAATTAGTTTAATTTGCCATTTTCATCGTGCCCAGAGTTAACCTTATTACTGGTTTATATGAAAACTAAACATGGTGGAATCTTTTATTGCAGGGACCTATTGGATTTTGTTTAGCCATTCAGCCAACGGATGGAGATATTGGGACAATTGGACGTAAGTATCAATCCTGCTGTTCATTTCTACTCTTGTACTCTCCATGTAACTCATCCTGGAAACAAATTTCTGCAGAGAACTTCATGACAGGTTACCGAGTAGTGTTTGATCGGGAAAATTTGAAGTTTGGTTGGTCGCATTCTGATTGTGAGTGGCTTGTAAAATTTTTAGCTTGTCTTTGGTGATCAACAATTTTAGTTCTCAATCTTATACTGTTCATGTTCAGGTCAAGATCTCAGCGATAGTAAGAACTTGCCCCTGACACCAAATGGTGCACCCTCTAATCCTTTGCCTACAAATGAACAGCAAACAACACCCGGTGGGGCTGCAGCTGCTCCAGCTCTGGCAGGAAGAGCATCACCCTCAAAACCGTCAACTGCCCCATCTGAACTCATTTCATCCCGGTATTGTTTGTTAAACTTGCTGGCATCCCTGCTTTTGTTGCGTCTACTTGTTTCAACTTCCTAATGCAAGTTTCAAACACCTTTAATATATGAAATTTCACTAATGCAAGTTTCAAACACCTTTAATATATGAAATTTCACTACCCATTTAGTCTTTCATGTACATCTAGGTGTTCTTGTTCCTTTTTCTTTTTTGTTTTCACGTCATATATATGAACATGAAACAGTGCCATTTTTCGCTCTTTCTAGGCCATTGGATTGCTTTGAGCATGTAGGATATGAACCAGAATTCCTTTATATATATATATATATAGTTTAATTTGCCTTACACTTTCATGTATGACAATTTTTGTTGTTGCTAATCTATTTCATCCATGCACCTATTATTCGTTGATTGTTATCCCTTGTTTTGCAAAGTTCAGTTCACCATAGAAAACTGTAAAGTAACCATTTCACCTGAAAGCTTAAACTGAAATCATCTAACACTAGAAATAAGACTGGAACAAACATATTAGATAGACAAACAAGGTTAGACACTATTATTAAGCACTCCACATTTCTAAACGTCCATGTATATATTTCCACAATACATATAGACGAAAACTCTCTGGTGCAGACGTGTTAAAAGTTTTTTACATGCGGACCAAAGATTAGCAACCAGTAACAACTAGTCCGCTGACATTTAGTCTCTGTGTAAAAAACTTGAAAACACCTGCACTTAAACTTACCATTGAATTCTGAAAGCCTATGTGCTATATTAAGGAATGGTTCTCTTGATGGACTCTTTTTTGTTGTTTTGATAAATATTAGTACATATGGATCTAATATAGAAAACAAATACGGTACTGATAAATAAGCTTGTACCTTCGATACTTTCTTGTTCAAGCACTTTAATTTATTAGATTTTATGTACTGTCCATTTTTGTCACTGCACGTGTTCTTGTTGATTTTTGACCTACTTTTTCTTTCACTTTTTCTCATCAAATTTTTAATCATGGTGGGGATTTAGGAAGGTTTTGGATTTGCATGAGATGGAGACACAGCACTTTCAAAAGCATAAATTTATACAATTATTAAAAAAAAAAAAACATGGAGACCTATCTACTTTTCAGCTTGTATCTTTCGTGGATGGTCGGTTTATTTATTTAATTTTAAACATGGATCTTGCTTTACCTGTAAAAGGTAGCCAGCGGTAACCAAGGGGGTTGTAAATGGTTCAACCTATAGTCCCAGATTCGATTCTTTATTGGACACAAAGGTAATATAATTGCTCATGAGTTACCTAGGAGGCCACGGCAGTGGGTGTAAAACTCCTGTCATACAATTATTAAATCAAAATCAAAATTTTAACAGTCTAGATTTAACTGAGTGGATTTTTTTTTTTTTTTTTTTGGGTAAGTTAGCACGATTTGTTTCTAGAAAACCTCTGGGGAGACTAGTGCAACAACTCATTGTTATAATTCCCTATTTAAATCTTGAGAGTTAGGAGGATTCAAACTTAAGATTATATGTCTTAATTATACATCTTAACTATTCATCTTAACGTTCGTTTTACCATTTGAACTATCCAATGTGGTTTTTACCCAAAACACAAGAAGTAAATTTTGAGAGAGTTAGTCTATTAATCTAGACTCTTAGTCGTTAACGAAAACTGATAGAAATTGACTCTTATAATGTGGCCGCCTCCTAAAGAAAACAAAACCTTAATAAATATATAAGATGGCTGGGTTGTAGTACAAAACTTTCCATCGCTTTCTTTTCCATTAAGTTTCTAAACACTCTCTTTTTCTGCTTTTGAATTAACAATTATGTACCCACAGAAGCTGAAACCTGTACTTATATTTAATTAAATACAAAAATAATTTCTGGCCTCTTCCTTTTGGCTTTGTCCAAAAGAGTTAAAGGACTTGGTAATGGTGACAAGAAGCTTCTCAAAGTAATGTACTTTAATTTTAGGTTAAAGATGCAAGATGTTGCCTTCCCCAGATGATATTTGTAGGACGTTCTGATATATTTTATGTGCATGTAAACAAAACCTTATTATTATTTTGTAAGCTAGAATTATAAGATATTTTACATGTGAAAAAATTAGTTTATTTTAAAGCCAACTTTATAAAAATGTGTCGTGTTATGGGCAATAATTGAATGGAAAATCTAAGGGCTTCAATCATAAATTTGGTGGTAATATTAAATGTACTTGGTGCTCGCTGGTAGGAGGCTAATCAAAGACAACTACATGACAATATATTTTATTATTTTTTATTCAATTATAAATAAATAATTAGTTAATTAATGCTCCTCTTTTACCTAATTTATAATTTACTATATTAAAATTTAAGACTTAAGTAGTCCTTGTGATGTTGCAAATTATTCAACGATTTGACAGATTTTATTTATTCAATTATTATTTTATTTATCTCATAATTTTGAGTTTAAAAAAAAAAAAAGAAAAATGTTTTATTAAAGTGTGTAATAATATTTTTTTTCTCTTTTATCATATACACCAGTTTTTTTTTTTAAAATATCTTTTTATAAATGAAAAATAGATAATAAACGGCTCATCTAATTGTGACCGGACGGATAACTTGTATTTAAAAACACAAAACTATTGGTTGTTGGGATCACATAATTCTTACAAATTAAATTTTGAGAACAATTTACTTATAACAATAATTTATTTATTAATAATTACTATTTATTATTATTATTTTTATGTTTATACTTTAAAGGAAAGAGAGGGCTAAGATCATGGCAAGAACTAGGAACCTTCCATCTCTTAAATTAAGAAAAAAATTATTATTTTAACATTAAAATAAATTATAATAATTAAAATAATCTACCAACTTTGTTCCAGCTGTACTTCCAGTGGATTTTCATGAAACCAAGTGGCCAAAATTATCTCAACATAACCACTTTTGTCAATGAGGACCTTATTGAGATTATTGAAAGATTTTTCTATATATAAACTTTTCTTCTAATCCAAACTAAGAGATATGTTAAAACATTAAGTTGGTAAAATAAAACATAATTTAATATTTTAAGAAAATTATCGAACATGAAATGTCTCGTAGTATAAATTTTGTATATAAACTAACGAAAAATATAAAATAAACGAAAGAATGCACAAGTTTTAACATTCGTTGTCAAATGTTTAACGTACAAATTAACAACTAATCCCGACTTTAGTTTTTGATATACGGATTTAATAACTAATTCCGATTTTAAATTTTACATTTTTGTAAAGCTAGCATAAAATTTTATTGGTTTGGTCTTTGAATTTAAAATAATAGGCTCCTGAGTTGACTAAAAGAAGAATCAATGGACAGCCCCAGAATAAGAGGGAGCCAGCCCCAGCCAGCTCCTGATTGATGATCAGGCTCTCCTTTTTCAATCTCCACCGTCTGATACTTTTCCATTTCTGCTATGATTTTTTGTTTTCATTCAAACGTGTGAAGCTGTTCATACTGATCTTGCCAGCTACTTTCTATACTGTCGACATTCTAATTATTATTAATTTAATTTTTATAATAATTATTATTTTGATTTCATACTTAATAATTAATTTAATTTAGTGGGGTCTTCCTTTTTTTTTTTCTTTTTTCTTTTCTGCCTTTGAGGAGCATGTCCCTTTCCATAAAACAGCTTTCAAATATTTATTTTATTTTATTTTACATTTGATTTGCCACAGGGCTCAGATTTTTTCTTAATTCAAGGGGGTTTTTGCATTTAAATCCTTTTTACTTTCATATTTCTTTTAATTGGTGCTCTTATCATGTATATTTAGACTTAAAAAAAATAAAAAATAAAAATTAATGATTTAGACGATAAGTAACGTTATTTATCTTTAAGACTTTATACTAATAACGAAATGAAAAATACTATCCTTACAAAGACAATATAAAGAGAGCTACAAAGTGACATCAGCAAGAAGGAAAAAACAAAGAAAAAACGGAAAAAGAGGGAGAGAGAGAGAGAGAGAGAGAGAAATCATGAAGATGAAGGGTGGAAATTGTCTTTGTATGCTTTCTTTGTTTTTGTCTTTGTAAAAGTAGTATTGCTCTAACGAAATAATTCTATTAATACATAACATATAAACATAAGTATTGATGATTTTACAAGGATATATATATCCTCAAACCTTCTTAATAAACCTGAATTGAGGTGTCTGGACCAGTTTATACGCACCTCAACTAATCTTTGAAGTCTATTAAACGATAAGTTACAAATGTGGTAGTTAATAGGTGGCCACTTAAGACTTCTGGGTAACTCACCCTGATGACTAAAAGTCTCGTCATTCGACCACAGGGCTAGTGGTTAAACTCTGTAATTTTTGGGAAGTCAATTTTTTCCTCTTTACTACTTAATCCTTAAGCATACATTAAGAACCCAAATCATGTAATTTAATTACTTAATATCTAATTAAATCTCATTAAAAAAAAAAAAAAAAAATCCTGTCTGCTAAAGCTTTTGTTTACTGTTTCTTCATGGGGCCACCATCCTTTTTCCTCTCGGTTTGAAACTATCCAAGAGCCTATTTAAGAAACCTCCCAGAGTTAAACAAAGAAGGATTATGAGAGCTAGCCTTCAAAGCCTAAACCTTTTCCTTTCTTTCTTTCTTACTTTTGTTTCAAGGCAAGCTACCCAAGTAAAGAATCCATTTCAAGTTCCTTGCAGCTTCCGAACTCTAGCTCACTATTCCTTTTTTTTATTTATTATTTCTGCTATAAATTCTGCATCTTTCTGGTCTTTTTCTGTGGAAAGTTTTCTGGGTTGTTGTTGGTTTTTGTCAAGTTTCTAAAACTTGTGTCGGCTTAAAGGTTTGAGAGAGGAGAAATAATCCTGAAGCTTTGAAAATTGAAGTAAGAAAAAATGGGAGTTGGAGGGACCTTGGAGTATTTGTCTGATTTGATGGGAAGTGGTGGCCATAACCACAAGAAGAGGAAGAAACAATTGCAAACTGTTGATCTCAAAGTCAGAATGGACTGTGATGGCTGTGAACTCAAGGTCAAGAATGCACTGTCTTCATTAAGTGGTAAGCATTTTTTGCTTATTCTGTCTTTCTTGACTTCAGAATCAATTACCTGACGTTTTCTGCCACTTCGGCTCCCTGGAGACCTTCAGAAAGACAAACACATTCCAGTTTCACAACAACACGCGCACTGTTTAGTTTATGATTTTTTTTTCCAGGAAAATGTGTTGAAATTGTGATGTTTTTGCAGGAGTGAAGTCTGTGGAGATAAACAGGAAGCAACAGAAGGTGAGTGTGACAGGATATGTGGAGGCAAACAAGGTGTTGAAGAAGGCAAAATCAACAGGGAAAAAGGCAGAGATATGGCCATATGTACCATACAATTTGGTCGCTCAGCCATACGTTGCTTCAGCTTATGACAAGAAAGCTCCTCCTGGTTATGTCAGGAAGGTTGAAAATCCTGGAACAAATGCCACTGCCACAACTTATGGCTATGCAGATCCTTACATCACCATGTTCAGTGATGACAATCCTAATGCTTGCTCTATCATGTAGATTGTAAAACTCCATTTCAGGGTTCTAGGATTTTGATTTTGATTTTCATCTTTATCTTCTTAAGTTTTGTTTGTAATTTTGTTGTTATAATATTAAAGATGATGAGAAAATTAACTAATTAGTTTATTAATCACTGTTTTGCTCTATTCTGTTCTGTTTTGTTTATTGGATAATTTCTTTCGACCCCCTATAGTTTTATGAGCTATTTCTGCTTGATATGTTTCAGAAATAGTCAGGAAACCCCCTTTCTTTAGTTTCCAATGTCAATGAAAACCCTAATTTTACTTGGGAAAAAAATTGTCTTTTTACATGTTTGCACTTCACTGTAATGGATTCTGCTAACAAAGATCGACGGGAGGAGGCTCCTTAACTATTTCTGAAACATATTGGGGGTTCAGTGCATCACCAAATAATATGACTGTTAACAAAATTTATAAAGAAAACAATCAATTAAGTCCGCATAAATTTAGTTATTCCTTTGGCCTCCTCAGTTTTTGAACTTAACCTTTGGACTCCATAGATCTTAACTTCCTAATTTTCTTTGCCCCATTCATTCATCCAACATTACATTTTTGGCTCCTAAAATAATTTAGTGGCTCCACCCCTGATCGGTTCAATGGTAATACCCAAACCCATTACTAAAATCAATAGATTTTGACAGCCGACGATATCCAAATGACAATATCTTAATAACATGATCACCACTTGGTGGTTTGATGATAAAACAGTAAAAGAAGATCTAAGTTTACATGGTCTTCTGAGTTCGAGTCCCTACGACCCCTAATAGGGGGTGACCACTGGAGCTTATATCCAGCCAATAGTTTTAAGATCCGAGAAATTAATTGAGGTGTATGCAAGTTGACCCGAGCACCCTTGGTCATAAAAAAAAAAATATCTTAATAACATACGCCGCCAATTGATCAAATCTACGATTTTATTCAAACCTTATGCAGTGGTTATGGTGGGGCTAGAGTAGCTCAATTAGTTGTTGAGAAGTCCTTGTGCATGATGCTATAATTTTATCCTTCTTTCAAGTCTCTCTCTCTCGTGAGCTTTGTTTGGCCACAGCTAGCTCTATAATTGAACCCAAAATAGAATGAGAAAGTGCAAGCTGGCTAACATTTAGGCTGATCTATGGCATGAAAGATTCTGCTATTTCTAGCTATATGTTATAGCTTCTTTATAAAAAGTGCTCACATTGTAGGGTAAAACCCCAGCTGTGATTTCACAGCTTCTGCATTGTATAACCTGTTTTTCATCAGAAATCCTTTTTTTACCAAAAGGAAATTTCCATTTTGCCCTTGCGGCTTCACACACCGTCATCTTTTAGACGGTGGGTGTGTTGAGATCAATGCATACGCTTGAGATTTACTTATCTATTTTACTACGTATCGAGATCGATAAGTCGTTGGGAGTGTTTGATATTTTTCGATCTATCATGTGGTCGATTAAATTAACCGATACCGAAGTCAACTTATCATAATCAAATCAAGACAAATAGTTGGATTAGAAAAATGTTTTAACTATTCAAATAAAAAGTGGATTCCCCAAAAGAAAAATAAAATGACACCAACGTTCAAATGATGAATTCAAACACATTTGGTTCCTAAAAGAGAAAAGAAAAGAAAAGAAAATTCCCAAGAAAAGCAAATCTTTCTTTATTTCTCTTTTCTTCAACAGAAGCAAACAAGGCAGAGAGAATCTAGCTTTCAACTTTTTTTCAACTTTTGCTGCTGAAAATGGAAACCTTTTTGGGATCCCAAGGATGCGTAAAGCCATTGTCATTTTGTATTTACAGTGGATTCATGTATTGTGCACTTCCTGGAGTTTCAAACTTTCAATATGCATGTCCACTGTAAATCCACTTGCAATAATTAGAAAAAAGAAAAAAAAAATGAATGAATGAATTTAATTATGCTTTCGTGACTAGGGTGTTTAGGCCAACTTATACGTATTTTGACCAATCCTTTGGGACCTTAAAGTTAACGATCGAGTAAAGTATACCTTTTAATGGCCACAATCGAGATGATTCGAATTCATGACCTTTTGAGTAATACACTCAAGAATTCTTGTTCATCCACTCGACCATCTAAGGGTGGTACAAGTGTTCTTATATTAACAATGAGTAGAAATAGGAAAGATTTGATCGTTAAAAAAAAAAAATAAGATAAAATATTTCAATAGTGCACTATTACTGTGAATGTTAGGTAAATTTCTGATTTATATATTCTTTAAAAAAAAAAAATCTATATAAATGGAAAAGAACAATAAAATGAGATTAGGTAAAATTTGGTAGAATGAAAAGCTTGATAGCTACTCTCCTCTAGTGGAAGATGAGGTTGCAGGATCAAAGTAAAAAATGAATAAAATTCAAAACAAATCTACTCAGATGGCGTTTATAGTTAAATATTTCCATTACTTTTCTAAACTTGCACATGTATTGAATGCCTGAATTTGAAAAGTTTAACATCAACATTAATGCGAATCAAGGGAACTGTCGATTGTGCATGACTTTAACCCACAGTCTCATATTCGATTTCTCATTGGACGGTAAAGGTAGTATCTTTACTCATGATTTACCTAAGAGACCACGAAAAAATAAAAAAGACAGCCCTGATTTTGCTTTGTGAAGCCAAATTAAAAAACTTAAGTTTTCACCGAACCCTATAATATTTGGAAAATGAGAAACAATGACCTTTTATGTGCTCATAAGTGGATACGAACCCTAGACTTTATGAGAACAAACCACAGGCTTAACTGTTTAACTAACCCCTTATGGCTAATGTTGTAAGAAAAATGCTATCCTTACAAAGAGAGCTACAAAGTGACATCAGCAGGAAGGAAAAAACAAAGAAAAAACGGAAAAAGAGAGAGAAATCATGAAGATGAAGGGTGTAAATTATCTTTGTATGCCCTTTTTGTTTTTGTCTTTGTAAGACTAGTATTGCTCATGTTGTAAATATGGTGTTCGATACTCTGAAAAAAAGATCGATAATGTTACCGAATCGATATGATAGTTAAATCTTTCAACACGTTGAGTTTCTGACAAGATGTATGTGTTTAAGGGAAAAATATGGCCTATTATATGCAGAGTGGAAGGTGGAAACTGGAAGACATTAAAAACACTCACCTAAGCTTGCATGATCTTGAGGTTTATAATCAATCATCTGAGCAAGTCAGTTTCATTAATAAGATGAAGTAGAATGTAATGTTACTGATAAGCAGTATTTATGGCATCAGATATATGTCTTTTCAGGTTTGGGAGGTCCAGGTATCCAATCCAAATATCCAGCCTTCTTCATTATCTAATGTGGGACTCTTAGACCTCATATCTAGAAGGAGATCCATGAGGGAAGGCCTGCACCAAAACATTCTCTTTCGGATAATACTGAGTCCCGCCGCATTGAGTTTCTTAGAGTCTGGCTTTGATACCAATTTGTTACAGGTCGAGTTATTCAACCGAAATGACTAACCTATTATTGGATGTAATCCCCCTTCAATCATCAAATGTGCAACTCTTAGGTCTCAACACAGGTTAAGTTTGCATTATGTATATTTCCACTAAACAATTTCCAAAGGGTTCTGAATGAAACACTTGCAAACTTGCCATACAATTAAACTTATTAACATCCAAAATGGCTATATATATATATATATATATACTACATAGGTACAAAATTAATATTCTTCTGTAAATGAGTTGCTGCTCCAAACGAGCCCATGAGAGTTAAGCAGCTACCGGTACTTCTCATTCTAACGGTAGAGATGGTCATTGTTGTCCACAAGCCTCTGCCTCATGATTTGATCCATGCTCAGATAGAGTTGCATTTCCTTGCTCTTAAGAAAAAATTCCTGCAACAAGATTTGGTGTATCAAACGAGGGAAAGCATATCGACGTGTGTAATATCAAGTTATGTATTCAACATAAAGCAAGTCTACTATATTGCCTGGTGATTTTTGATCAAGTAGTCTATGCATGGGCGATATCATAGGCAAAATAACTACAAAAAATGATGAAAATTGTAACAAAAAAGGTCGGTAGGTAGATATAGTCGTCAAGAAACATATGCACCACACCAACAACATAACAACTTAAGAAGTGTATTAGAAATTCTGACTTCAGTTTACCGCTCATAATTGGAGCATGAAGTCTCCAGCAAAAAGTAAAATATGGATTGTCAAACTGGTTCCTCTGTCTAGCAAACGATGGAGAATGTTTACTTTCTAGGCACCGAAAATAGACTTGCTATTTGAAATCAACATTGAACTCAAACATATGATTCCTAAAGTTTCACTAAGACTCCTTAAACTGTCATTGAAAAAACCAAGACAAGTTACTCCATAATCAATCATTGTTTGACTCAAATCAAGACAATTGCTTCAGCAAGACTATGGACGTACTCTTGGCGACGGATGACAATGGCAATTTTGTGTCACTAGATAAATTTTCACAAGTAAAAAATTATTGCGGGTTCTTCAAATTTCATCAAAGACTACAAAACAAAAGGTGCGGATAAAGTTCTAAATACTGAAATACTAAGTTATCTAACTCGACTTTATCTAAAACTTAAGTGATATCATACTTGGGATGTTCAGCAGAGACTTGCTTACCTCAGTGAGCTTCCAATATATTTTAAAAACCAGTATTTACTGTCTTCACTTTCGATTCCCTGAGTAGATGCCGACAAAATTAATGTCATAAATGAGAGTTGCATTGGCCGGTATATTGCAGTCACCTACATAAACCATATCATGAATGTCAGTTTCCAAATAATTGTTGCAACAATGACGGATAGTTGTATTTCCTTGAACAAATGTAGTACTAATCTTATTAGTAGCCACACTATCTCTATATAGCCATAAGGAGTTTTCTGTAGACTACACATTATCCTCTAATCAATGTTTTAACTATCATCAAGTGTTCAAATTGGTTCATCTTTCACAAGTACATAGAATTGGACCAGTATCCCAAATGGGCAGCAAAAAAATTCTATTTTTTATTGATTGATGAAACATAAGTAAGGAAAGATCAAATTTTCAACTATAAGTTTGAATCTTGACGAGTCTAGAAATGACAATCAGTAATACATAACGTCACCTGAAAAGCATCCTGCAGGTTCTGGCCCATATGCTAACTCTGGCGGAATTTGAAGCTTACGTTTTCCACCTGAATGAAATTAGCAGTGTGAAAAATATGCAGGAAAGCCTGAAGCGATACACAAATACAAACTCAGAGACAATTTATTTTCTTCAATATCTTACCCACAAGCATTGGAGGTACTCCTTCCCCACCGAAAATTCCCTGATCCAAGCCCTTAATGACCTGGACACATATACATGTTAAGATTGAAATTGGGACAAAATGAGAACAGCCTAAACCCGCAAACACAACACTGCCAGGCTCTACATAATCACATTTATAGTAATGATTTTGCTTTACTGTTTTAAACACACTAAACTGATCCGATTTCAAATTGAAAAGCTTCGACACTTGTATAAACAGGGTGAAAAGGTGATAAGACACTGGAACGATTGACGTGTAGATTGGAGTTAATTAATTGTTGACTAACTGAGATAAAAAATTTACCTTGCCAACTCCAATGCGCATAGTAAGAGGTCTAGATCTTTTGTAGCTGCTGTCGAAGACTATTCCATCAGCAAACCTTGCCGTGTAGTGAACCTATACATTGAAATAAATACAACTCATGAAATCTCCATAACTCGTAGGAATTTTATTAATTTATCAGACAAGCTTCTGACAATTGACAGAAAACTGAATTCACCACAAATTGAAAGAAAAATGTAATTGCCAGGGCAAGGTCCCAGCTTGATGGAATCAAACAATGACAATCAATAGCAAAACCACATAAAATACCGTTTTTACACAGACTAAAGCAACCCATAGCCCAAAAAGACTTAACGAAAGAAAAAAACAAAATCACAAACTCACATTGATAAGCTCAGGATATTACTCATTATAACTTCAAACCTCACAAAGGAACCATTTTACACTAAAAACAAACATTATTAACCAAAACTAAACCAACCCAAAAAACACAAAGAAAAAAAAAAGCTGCAAACTAACATTGATAAGCTTACTCAAATAAGTTCAAACCTCATATAAAATACATTTTATACAAAACAAAACCAACCCAACCCAATAGCCCCAAAACACCCAAAAACAGACTCACATTAATAAGCTCAGGATATTACTCAGTACAAGTTCAAACCTCATAAAATACCACTTTTATACAAACTAAACAAATAACCAAAGCTAAACCAACCAAATTACCAAAAAAAACACAGAAAAAAAAAAACAGAACCTCATAAAGATACCATTTTATACAAACTAAATTAAACAAAACCAAACCATAGCCAAAAAAACACAGCAGAAAGAAAAGTTCACAAGTCACATTAATGAGTCAGAATATGGAGCCTCCTGGCCAGAGCCAACAGAGATGTCACAGTAACCAAGGCCAGAGCGACACAAGTTGAATTCACAAGGAGGGTCAGCCACAGTGGCGTAGTACTCAATCCTTGTGGCATCAGCATCAGAGGCGTCAAGGCCATGAAGGAGGAGGCCAAAAGGCCAATGCCCACATCAAGAACACACTTCTTGGGGCTGAAAGAGAGATTCTTTGGCTTTGAAATTTGTTGGATGAATGTGAAGAGGAAGAGCAGAGGTTGGTGAAGTTTTTGGAGGTGAAGTGAGGGAAGAGAGAGTGGTGGTGGCGGCCATTTGGTTTGAGCTTTGAGGTGAAGAGGAGTGGCTTTGGGTAACGGTTTGAAGTGAAGGAGAGCTCATGGCTTTCTGGAAAAATGGATAGTGAAGTGGGACTGCTTTAGAGGAAGATTTTGAACCGTAGGATGTGGATAAGAGATTTATTAATCTTGACTATAAAAAATATTATTGAACCGAAATTCTCAATCAATATTATTCTTTTTAACAAGATTTAGATTCAAAGTTTTTATTAATATAATTTTTTCATCTCAATAAGATCGATAATATAAATAATTTTTTTTATGCATGTGTTAATGATATGACCCATAATATTTTATGAAGTGTAACGACTTTTTCCTACCCAAATAATGGTTTAATAACATTTACCACTTATAGCTTTTAAAATAATATTTTACTACTCAAATTTATATCGACAGTGAACAGAACAGAAGCAAACTCAGTCCAGACTGTTGAGGTTTTTAAAGAGGGAGACCAATGGATCTTGGTGGTGAAATGCTGAATTTGGGTGGATGGAATTGATTGTAATTGACTTGGGAAGACGGTTGCGTAAACCCTAATCATTAATTATGCGATTGAGGATCGGTGAGAAGGGTTTAGGGGTTTGGTGAGTGATGATCAAGAAAGAGAATGGTGGTGGTGAGGGGTCGTTTGATACTAGAACGAAAAACGAATACAAATTAGGGTAGTAAAATGATATTTTAAAAATTGTAGGTGGGAAAGTGTCATTAAGCATTATTTTGGTGGGAAAAAGTCGTTTACTCTTTTATTGAATAACAAAATTCTCCATATTTTTCTATCATAAGTTTTAAATTTTAATAAAAATGGCAAAAGAAAATAATTCATTAATTTATGATAATAGAGATATACAATAACTACTATTGATCAACGAACAATAACTGTGGTGTCTGATTGTAAAAGAGCAAAAGAGAATCTAAATTTACATAGTTTCTGAGTTTGAGTCTTGTATCCCTAATAGGAGTGACGCTAAGAATCTTATTCAACTAGTAGTTTTAGGGTCACATGATTAGTTAAGTACGAGTAACTAGTGATCCGGACACTTGTAAAAAAAAAAAAAAAAAAAAGTTCTTTCAAAACCCTCACGAGAATTTTATTTATAATTACTTATTATGTAGTACAATTATTTATTTATTATAAATACAGTATTTAAAGGGGAATAATAATACACAAACCTCTTCCATTGAATGTTTGATATATGATAATTAGTCTTGGTAAGGTAAGATAATAATGTAATTAATTTTAAAGAGTATTAATTTAATTTCATCTACTATTAATTATACACCATTTTCAAAAGAATCAAAACCAACTTTTCCACTCTTTAGGTGAGATTTTAACCATTACTCTATGACTCTTTCTTTACTTTTTTTTTTTTTTTTTTTTTTCTTTGAAATACTTGTTTTGAATTTGAACATGAAAATTGAAAATATATAACCAAAAAAAAAATATAATAATCACTAATTAGAGTAAAATAGTCTTTTCTTATATGAACGTTATATCTCTTAAATTTCCGATAATATTCTACTAACACAATTAACGGTTTATTAACGAAAAAAATACTAAAAAAACAAAGTTTAGACTAATATTTCCTCCTTTAACATTTATAAACAAAAAATATACATATATATACATGTATATCAAGTTTTAATAATGGTAATATCTATTGCATATATTAAGAAAAAAATCAAGTATAAACTCTTAAATAATTATTGCACGTAATTAAATCCTTGTAACTCTCCTTCATTCTCCATGATATAAATATATATATAATCTTTACTCTTTAATTAATTAATTAATTATTGATTGAAATTATTTTGAGAAGAATGGGTCGTGTAAAATTACAAATAACAAGAATAGAAAACACCACAAATCGGCAAGTACCTTCTCCAAACGAAGAAATGGACTCATCAAGAAAGCCTATGAACTCTCTGTTCTCTGCGATATTGATATCGCTCTTATTAGTTCTCTCCCTCTGGTCGCTCAGTCTCTTTCCAGCAACGAAGGTCTTTTTTTTCTTTCTTTTTTTTTATTTAATTAATTTGATGCATGCATTTTCATCCTCTTTATTTTTTGTTTTAGGATCGAAGACGTGCTACTCGTTAATAATTTGTCGAATCAAGCAACAGGATCGTAAGTTTTTTTTTTTTTTCAATTTTCATGTATATATTTTCTCCGATATCAATTGAGAACGACGATACTGACATGGATAATTCTTCTATTTTGTGAGTGTTATTCAAAATAGAGAGGTATAAATTTCTCGAGATTTATATTTTACGACTTGATCAACAGCAGAAACAGATATATAACATACTGATTTTGATTCTTTTATGAAAATATTGCAGTTATGCTTAGCACCATAAAAAAAATCCAGGCAGAAGATGATCAGACTGATCTTCAAATTTATAGTATTTTAATTTCTATTATAATATTCTCTCTAATTACCATTTTTATATATAATTGGCATATTAATTGACTTCAATGTTTTCATACAGGCCTGAGGGTGTTAACAAAAATTGAGGTAATTGAAGCACATAATCTATTATTATTATTTTCGAATAAAAATTCTTAGATGTAGACGTATTATTTTTTATACGAAATTTCGGTGAAAAATTGATGTAGATTTTAAAAAATTCAGAGGTCGCGAAAGAGAATGACTAATAATTAGTGTTAAATTTATTTAGGGACTCCGACAAGAAATCATAAATTTGCATCAACAACTTCAGATATCTGTGAAGCAATTAAGGTTAGAGAGCAAGAATTATTAATTAACAAAATTAGAAATTAATCAAACAAATTATTATTATTATTATCAATATTAATTAATTAATTAACTTATTTATTTTGCATAATTCATAGGAAATATGAACCTGATCTGCAAAAATTGTCAACAATGGTGGAAGTTGAATCCTGTGAGAACAATTTACTAGAGACCTTGGCATGTATCACACAAAGAAAGGTTAATTATTTCAACCTCTTTTTCGCATTAAATTTTTATTCAACGATCGCGAATTGATCGTTTTTTTATTTTTTGTTCTCAGAAACAGCTTTCGGATTATCATGTATCATCGTACAATCTGTTCAATATGCCGATGTATAATGACGCCCAAGGTGGGGTGTCAAATTCTTTAGAAGAAGAGGTTATTAATTGGTTGCCTAATGAAATCAATGGGCAAAACCCTAGCCAAATTCGTGCAGGATCTGAACCATCCACAAGTATTAATCCTATGAGGTAATTAATTAATTAAATAAATATTTAAGCACCTACTTAATTAGTTTAATTATATAGAAATTTATTAATTAATCCTTAATTGCAGCTTGGAAGGATTCAACATCAGCAATTTAAGTAATAATAATAGTGATGAAAGTCTTTCTCCATGGCATCAATACACTGCAACTGAGCTCCTCACTGCCTTCCTGAACCCTAACTCATTTCTACAACTTAAGGTAAATAATTTTTTTTAGAATCCGAACACTCATTTACCCACTTTGGTAAATAATAAAATATACTGAAATTTTATCTGTTAGCATTGTTTGACACCAATTACGGTTTGTCATTGTAGGATAATGATGTTGAAGGTCAAGACATGACGGCAATGATGTCACAACAGCAAGTTGATGCTACTTCAAACTGCCCTCAAGTGATATCGAGAGCGATCGATGAAGGTTCGAATTAATTAATTAACCGTAAGATCAAATAATGAAATTATATCTAGAAATTGTTAAGAACTTCTCTTAATTTATTTATTTTGGATTTTAAGGTTTATGATTCTTCGGCACATTAATTACCAAGTAAATTTTCAAGGTCATCCAAGTTTACTTCTATATCCCAATTTAGGTCACCCAAATCGCAGGGGTCATTAAGTAGATTTCCTGTTGTGCTCAATGCTCGATCTCCTTTCTCAGCCTGAAAAAAAAAAAAAAAAAAAAAAAAAAATTGTTTGATTAAGTTTCTTTGTTAAATCTTACCCGCCGGTTTCAGAAACTAACGAAGTTACACTTTCCTTTTCTAAATTTAACGTTGGACTTTGAAAATTGAAGATGACATTGTTAGTTTTCGAAACCAAGTGGATGAGATGCAAAACAATGTCACCATCTCGGTCTCAGAAACTAACATTATTGTCACGTTAAAGTTAATAGAGTAAGAAGTGACGACGTTAGTTAGTTTCTAAAACCAAGGGGTGACATTGTCTTTCGTAAATTGATAAAGGGTAACGTTGTAATTTACCCTTTTCCAAGTAAACCATGCATGCATAATGTATCTCACCTCATTAGGAAGATTGTTCAGTTGATCAAGACCTGCATCACAATTGCCATTATTGATGTTGTTGCTGATAATCTTGTTATTTTCAACGGCACTGATTGCGGTAGTACTGGTACCAATAAAGTAAGGTACTTCAAGACTATTGTTGATGATACCAGTAGTATTCACAGCATCGGTAACATTATCGGTGAAATAGGGCCCATAATCGTTGTTGTTGTTATTGGCAGTAGCAATAGTGAGGACATTAGTGTAATTTCTGAAGAGACAATACCGAATAAATGAAATTACAAAGAATATAATGTGGAGCGTCACAAAAAAAACCTTATATTATATAAAAAAATATATATATTATATATACCTCTCAAAGTTCATCTGATTTGTGTTGAATGTACCATTAGCAATCCAATTTAGCTCATGAAATTCTGTTGGAATCTCAAGTGTAATTCGATCTCCTATTATCGACTGCTGCAATCAAAATAAAATAATAATCAAAGAAAAGTAAAATTAAATATTTATATATAAATAATTAATTAGTAATTAATAAATAACCCACTTTTCTTTCATTGACTAGTTCCAGAGAGGCTTTCAGGTTTTTCTCAATTCTTATAAGTTGAGATGGTTGAGGATACTGGCTGAGATCAGGTTCATAATCTCTGTCAAAATATGTCAAGATTATTCAAAATTAATTAATTAAGTTGTAATTAAAATAAAATGAGTTAATTAAATCAATTCTTACTTGAGTTTTTTGCTCAGAGTCTCGATCTCTGCTGTGCTCTTGTTAATTTGTAGCTCAAGTTCCTAATTAAATAATTAATCTAATAAAATTTGACCAAGTAATTAATAAAAAAAAATTAAGAGTATATGTACTTACATTAATTCTTGATCAATACGAATCCAGGCACGATTGATAAAGGTTGTGACAATAATAATAATAATAAAAAAGAAAATTATTTAATGTCAGTAATATGAATTAAAATTAAATAATATATAATGCATTTATTTATGAATTAAGAGTGATTTAAGAGAACAAACTGGTTCTTGAGATATCCCATTTTATTTTCATCACCCCGAATGTGTTCAAGCTGCTTCAATTTCTCCGCCTTGTGACATACACAAGGTGCCCTTCTCTATTTAAAATAAGAAAATAATATTATTAAAAACATTAATACAAATAATAAATCTTATTAATTAATCGAAATAAGTTTCATAATACGTACCAGTGAGTTCTTCGAAGGATTACTTTTAGCCATATATTGATATCACAAGAAAAGAAAAAAAAATTAAAATTATTTAACACAATCACGTTGAAAATTAAAAATAATTTAACAATGATAAAAGAAAAGTAATCATGTATACTGAAATCTTATTTCTTGTGGTAGATCGAGATAACGTTGAAGCACTTCTTCCATCCTAAAAACAAAAAGGTTAAAAAAGTACTTACATAAAAACATTTTAACTGAGATTGAACGACACACATAGTTAATCAAATTGCAACCTTGCACAGCTACAAAATTCATAGAGGCGGCCATGGACAGAGAAGATGACGAGAGCCATATCGATGTCACATAAGATGGAAATCTCATGAGCTTTCTTGATCAAACTATCTCTTCTTTTAGAAAAAGTAATTTGAAATTTTGTTGAATCCTCAATTTTTTTTATCTCAATTTTTCTTTTTCCCATCGTGAGATGAAAAAAAAGTAGACTAAGAAGAAGATGAAGATGAAGAATAAAAGAAGATTATTTAGAGAATAATTAATTAATTATTTATTCATAAATCTTAAGGAAAATTGGGGTGATGAAGAAGATCTTAATGTTCGATATTGTCAACTTAAATGAAGCTACTACTGTGTACACTGGTTACTAGATTTACTAGTTAAAACTGGCTAGCATAGCCAATTAAAAGATGACACATCACTGTAGACGGTCCAAATGGCAACTTGTTGTATAATATATTCATATAGTTTATTAAAAGTCTCAAAGGAATCTACAAATAAAATTGGAAATAAAGAAATAAAGAAATTTCTTTTTTTTAATTGGTCAACTGGTAGATTGCAAACTATTAACTCAATCCGCATTACAGGGGAAAGTAACCCTTAATCAATATTTTAGTTGACGTGGCATTAGTTTTTTGAGAAATTAATTATTTAGATTCTTGAATTAACTAAGAGGCAAAGTCAATCTCATATTGTAAGATGATTCCTCGAGATTCGAGCCTGTGCATGAGGTGGTTGTACATTTGAGTTGACTTTGGATTTTCCAAATCAAAATGTGAAGGTACAACTATAGAAGCATATTTAATTGATTATTTTATGATTTATTGATTTTGTATTTCATAATTTGTTGTAGAAAGAATGTTTTTAGTTTATATTAGGGGTGTTAAAAAATTGCAAAAACCAAATCCAACCGGTAACTTAACCTAAAAACCTATTAATCGAAAAAATATTTTGGTTACAGTTCAAAGTGGATTTTAATTTCGGTTTTTGATTCCGGTAAAAATAAAAACCGATTAATCGAAACTCGTTTTTTTGAACCTGTTTATATATATATATATATATATATATAATAAAAAATAATAATGATAATCTTAATCCCTAAATTTGCATAATTTCTTTTGTTATTTTCTATTGAGACTTATTTAGTTATTTTGTTGTTTTATTATGGATATTTCATTACGGACTTTATTTTTGTTTAATTTTGAACTTTTATTTGTATCAATTTTTAATGTATTATTAGTTGTGATAAATAGATACGTATGCATATTTAATTTTAATTTTAATATATATTATTGATGTTTATAATTTAATTTAAGAAAAATTAAAAAAAAAAAAGAGTTTTATCCAATAAAGAGGAAAAACCGGTCAACCAAAAAACCAATTTTTCTCTTAAATCGACTCGGTTTCAGCGTAAGAATTTTTCTGAATAAAAAAATCGATTGGATTCAAGAACCGGGTTTGGTTAACTGCTTTTGAACACCTTTAGCTTATATGGACGTTTTCATAACCACTAGAGCCACAGCAACCGTCCGATCAATCTGATGATCATAATTCAAACCTCACAAATGATCAATCTCGCGTTTCACATTCCCGCCAAAACTAACAGAATCAAGTTCCACCACTCCCCTAACAAACCCACGCAACCATCATTTGAAAAACCCCTCTTCCTCATGCGCTCAACACCCGTCGTGTTCTCCACTCTCTTCACCTCCATATAAGTTCTCACTCACTCCTACTCTCTCACTTCACTGACATTTTCATTTTTTTCTCTCAAATGGCGAGTCTCTTCGTCCTCTTCGCTCTCTCTTTCTTCTCAATCTCCCAAACCAACGCCGTCACCGACCTCGAATCTCTCTTCTCCTCCACCACCACCGCCACTCCGCCGTCTCACCAATCACCACAGTCTGCACCAGACGTCACAGACCAGACCTCGTTCTTCTCACACACAGCTCTCCTTGAGTCGATCCTCTCTCACCTCGGCTTCAATGAGCTGGCCACGGCGGCGCCCTATCTCTCCATCACCGCGGATGCGGCTTCAGCATCCACCACCTGGTCTGGTCCCTCCACACTCTTTGCTGCCTCCGACTCCTCTCTCCGCACGTGCATCTCATGCTCCATCCCCTCGCTTCTCCGCGAACACCTCATTCCTGGCCTCTTCACCACCGACTACCTCCGGAAACTCACCTTCGGAACCAAAATAGAAACCCTAGCCCCCGGCCGCTGCGTCACGATCACTTCAAACAAACACCAGAACGACACCGTTTCCAAACTCTTCGTGTCCGGCGTTGAGATCACTCATCCGGACCTCTTCAATAACGGCCTCGTTATTGTTCACGGCATCCAAGGCTACATCTCGCCTCTCTCGCCGTTATCTTGTGACGTGGAGCGGATGACGTCACTCTCGTTCCAGAATAATGATCACCATCAGAACCAGATCATCCAAGACAACCACTTGTTTCAAAACCAGCCGCCGATCATGCGGTTGATGTTACGCGACGCGATGCTCCGCCTCCGCAACAACGGCTTCAGCATTCTCTCGCTGGCCTTCAAGGTGAAGTATCCAGAGCTCGTCATGCTCAACAACATGACCGTGTTCGCTCTTGATGACGTGGCGATCTTCTCTGGATCGTACACGTATATCAGTAATATTCGGTTTCACATCGTGCCGAATCATTACTGGACGGTTGGTGAGCTCGAGAGGTTGCCGGTGGGTACCGCGTTGCCGACGCTGGTGAGAGGAGAGTCGTTGGTAGTTACAGCGGCCGGAGGCGGTGTCGGAGTTATGGCGGCGCCGTTGAGGATTAACTACGTGAGAGTGAAGGTTCCTGATGTGATGCGAAACTTAAAGATCATAATCCACGGTGTTTACTTGCCGTTTCCGCATCTCCATCACAAGGCTGACTTGTACGATCATGTGGCGAGGGGAGCGGGTGGCCTCGGAGTATCAGACGGTGGAGACCATTTCGGTGAGGGTGCATGCTCGGCGATGAAGGAGCAGGACGGAAGTTGTGGTTTGGCCCCGCCGGCTTCCAAGATCGATAATAAGAAACCAACGGTGGAGATAGAAGATCATCATATGCTGTGATGATGACGTATCGTTTTATTGCTTAGTCAGCGTATTAGTCAACTGTTGACTCTTGAGTCACGAAGGGGTAATGACTCATTTTGTACTGTTTCTTGTACGGCCTTTTGTAATGACTGATGACTCTAATATGTCTTTGTGAATAAAATTTGTAGCTTGGTGCGTTTCGTTTTGTTAATGCTTTTTTTTCAGATTTGATTTATTTACAAGTTTACAGCTGCAAATCATGTTTCACATTAAAATTTTACATTCAAAATTGTTAAAAATAATATTAATTATCAATAATTGAAATAATTTATTGATGTTCGACATTTGTCATTGTCAACGTCATATCAAATAACTTTGAAAATAATATTAATTATCGATAACTTATTGATATTAGTTGAGAATTTTGTTTATCTTAATTTCTTTAAATACAAATGGTTTTATTAATTCCTTTTAAGGAAAAGGGATTAATTTATTTGCAACGAATTTTACAATGACTACTAATATGAAGTCATATTTTTAAGCTTTAAAAAAAATAAATAAATAAATTGTGTTATAGTAATTAGTGCTCTACACAGCCCATAATAGAGGAAGGCAACTTTCCGAGCCTTTCAATTCCTTCTGCAAACACAACGCCCATACCCATATAAAAATGGGACTCTATATGGCAATGAAAAGCCCAAGCTCCAGGATTATCCGCCTCGAATCTCAAAGCGGTCCACCCATAAGGATGAACCGGCACCGTATTCTTCATGATTGGATTCAACGAATTGTACTTTCTTGGATCCTTGTACATATCAAACTTCCCTTCTCCGTAACCCAGTACCCAAAAATCATGCCCATGTAAATGCCACGGATGCGTCTCACTGGTGCTTCCATTTTCATTATACTTCGCATTCTGTAGAACAATATCCACCGTTGAATTGAAACTCAACCTGTAAATGGCACTGCTAGCAGTGCCATTTCTGTTCTCAGGAATATTGTAAATGTCATAGCTTGTTAAATTGAATCCGTTCGGAGGTGGGGTTTGATCAAACGCCTGAGTTAAGTCGTTCTTTAGTGAAATGAGATAAGGTATGTTGGGGAGGTTGAAGGAGACATTATTCACCGACCAACGGCGGTAGCCATTGACGAGATTTTGAGTGTTGAGAAATAGAATGAGCCTGTCTGAGATTGGGGGAGGTGGAGTGGTGAAGTTCTGATGAGCTTTGATGGCTAGGCTTTGGTTCACCCGGGGCTGAACGTCGTCCCAGTAGGGGCCTGGTGGGGGAGCCGTTGGAGGGAGTCTTTTGGGGTTGTTTGGATAGTAATTCAGAATGGCTAAGCCTACAGGAGTTTTGGGAGGTCGATTGACTACATTGGTTGTGGCCCAGTAATTTCTTGAAGGGTCTTGGTCAGATTTTATCAGGACTGAATATGTTTCTCCTGAGTATATGAATAGGTTTTGTACCACAAATGGCTCTACATAGTGTCCATCTGCTTCCACAACAGTCATATTGTGACCCTGCATAAGAAAATTATATCAGGAAAATCACGGATGTTAATTGAAGGGACATTAAAAAGTACCTCTATTTGGAAACTGAGGGCAGATAGAGCAGTCAAGCTGGATATCCTTAGCCGGAATGTTTTTCCAGGGACTACTGTCAATACATAAGGAGAACATTCAGGATTTGATACATCACAAAAACTGGAGACGTTTAAGCTTGGCGCAGTCAATTGAGAGCAGTTAAACTTTCCTTTCCCTTGTATCAGAAGAGACTGAAAGGCAAAATAGAAAAGAACCCTTTACAGTAATGTGTAAGTTTTATCTCTTTATGGTGAAATTAAGCATTTTCTGTAAAGTACCTGAGGCTCTTCAACCCATTGGAATGGAATGGAGGATAAGCCAGTGGCTTGTTCATGAGTGCTTTTATGGTACCAGTCGTTCAGGATGATGCTTCGATCGTAGTCATAGGAAAATGGTTCAGGTTTTTCTGGGGCTACACGAATGGATCCATATAGACCAGCTTCTCTTTGCATCCCGTAATGAGCATGGTACAAATATGTTCCAGGCTGCAGAAAATAAAACTAGGTCAATGATCTTCACAGCAACCCAATATATTTAAGTCTCTTATGTGCAATGAACTAGACAGATTAAAAAAACAAAAACCACGAGATGGGTTTTATTAAACGAATATGGACGGAATAAGGAAAATTTTATCACGTGAAAAAGAAGGATAACACCTAAACAGGGAACGTAACGAGTCTTACCCTTTACATAAGATTAAGTACAATAATAAAATCGAAAAAAATAAAAATGAATGATATAAAAATACAAGAATTACCAAAACGAAAACAAGTACAAATTATACGAAAAAGGATAGGCAATAATGTCAAAGATTCAACGTTCATATTTAAATGTACTCAGACAAATAAATTAACAAAACCTAAATAGGGTGGTGCAAGACTAGTAAACTCACTCACCCTATCAACAACAAATCTGTATGTGAAAGTTTCTCCAGGCAGAATTGGGCATTGAGTCACCCCCTCTGTCCCATCAAACCAAGGGGTTCCCCTCTGTTGAAAACCATAAATTAAATTAACTTAAAATTCATCTTACAGAAAAATCAAAATGGAAATCAAATTAACTTAATCATCATCATCATGTTAATTACCTGCCGAATTCCATGCCAATGGATGGCGACATTCTCAGTTAACAAACTGTTTTTGAGCTCGACGATGATCGTGTCATTTTCCTTGGCCAATATTGTTGGCCCTGGAGTTCTGCCATTGACAGTAATCACCAGTTTCCTGAAGCAATCTGGAGACTTGTACTCATACTTCACTTCCCATTTGTATCTCCGAAGTTTGGCCTCAACAAGCTGAACATTTACTAACGATATGAAGATCAAATTCAACAAAGTAAATAGCTTTAACATCATTTTAATCAATTTCTTTGTCTTGAATTAAGCACATCTCCTCGATCTCTTGCAATATTTCATTCTTTTTATATTGAATTGTTATACTTGTAAATTTCCTGTGGATTATCCAATAAGTTGAAGTTGGACTTGGCCAGCTTCAGGTTGACAAAGGAAAGTACTAATTTATTAATTTTCTAAGATGATTTTATCATTCTGAAAAGCAAAGGAAATATCCTACATATGTTGATTGAAATAGACAAAAATAAATAAATAAATGATGGGATAAGAAGTAAGAAGTGCTTCCGAAGCCTCTTGGAGAAACGTGTGCGAACTGATGGGGTAGTTGAATAGGAGAGTCTTACGAGATAAAATTTAAAAATTTATAAAAAACTTCATAGGTTTGCTAATTTAACTAAACACCCCAATGTATAAAATTTTTGTAAAATAACAAAAACACCCCCACCACCTACAGTGCCAGATTCTGGACACCACCTCCGAAATCTGACCGAAAAATTGTGTTACGACATAGACCAGTCGGATCTGGTGGGTAGGGCGTCGATATGGCCTTTTTCGACCAGATCCACCACAGATCTGGCCGGAAAAAGCCAGATCTACGGCTAAATCTGGCTGTCGACAGCCATAAAAGTCTATTTTTGGCCGTCAGCGATGACTAAAGATATGACCATCATAGATCGATAAATTACCAACCAGTTTCGGTCGTGGTATAGGCCGTTGTGATGGATTCTGGCTACCACCGACGGTGGTTGCCAGAATCTGGCAAGTATGGGTTTAGGGGGTGTTTTGTTAATTTTTAAACTTTTTTTTGGGGGTATTTAATGAAATTAATAAACTTAAGGGTCTAAAAGTAATTAAAAAAATATATTAATATTTCTCAAATAATGTGCCAAACAATATTTGGGGAATATGATTGGGAATATGGGTAGAAATAATGTGCCAAACGCACCCGACACGAATCATGGGTTAAAATACTTATTATCATCAGTATGTTGTAATCTGTTTCTACAGGTATAATCTAGTGGTTATATATCTTGTAGTGAAAATAAGAGGTTTAGAAATTAAATCTTTTCATTCTAATTTTAAAACGGATGAATTTAATCATAGTCTTTAACGACCATTTATATATTTTTTTAAGAATGATATTACACATACAAAAGAGTTTATACAAAGTCTTGCATATAAAATGATGTAACAGACTAACAGTACTCTTGTATTATCATGTCATTTACCATCATATTAAATGTGCATTTATTAACTTGGTTTTTATGTTATTTCATCAAATAATACTTTGACTTGAAAACTTGATCGAACCCATCGATCGGTGACGGCACCCTTTTTGGTCCGATCTTACCCTGAAATCGGTAGTAGCAATTAGACCGGATTGGCTCGCGGTTGGACCATCGAAACAGTGTTGAATCGTNAAATGATGTAACAGACTAACAGTACTCTTGTATAATCATGTCATTTACCATCATATTAAATGTGCATTTATTAACTTGGTTTTTATGTTATTTCATCAAATAATACTTTGACTTGAAAACTTGATCGAACCCATCGATCGGTGACGGCACCCTTTTTGGTCCGATCTTACCCTGAAATCGGTAGTAGCAATTAGACCGGATTGGCTCGCGGTTGGACCATCGAAACAGTGTTGAATCGTGATCCAACCACGAGTTAATCCGACTTGATTTTGGAACCGTTTGACCTCCTTGACACCACCATAAGAATCACCGGCATCTCCACAACAAACCCTACCATTTTCAGTCATCGCCAACTTGCCGTTCGTCGCTTGCCATCCACCTCTTGTTCGCGTGACTAGCGGCCTTCCTCCCTAATTCTGGTAGCTTCCAAAGTCTTTCAACCTCCCTGACACCACCATAAGTGTCATCAGCATCTCCACATCAAAAGCCCTATCATCCCTAACTCTGATTAGCCGCCAATCGTCATCACCACTAGCCTCGACTGCCGAGATTGTACGGGTGTTTTTGTTGGATTTCAAACCTATAGGGACACATGATAATTTTGCAAGGGTGATTTTGCTAGATTTCAAACCTACAGGGACTAATGGAATTTTACAAGGGTGTGTTTGCTGGATTTTAAATTTGCTGGAATTGCTAACGTCACTAGTCCGACTGACCAATCCAACCAGTCATATCGGCCAGCTCAAGAAACGAGCCCTTGATTGGATCAAGGCCCGGTCTGATTTTCAAAACATTGATTTTGACACAATACTTTGTATAAAAAACTTTGTATAAAGTCTTTGTAAATGTATTATTATTATTATTATTATTATTATTTTTAAAGATGTGGACCTCTGTGAGAGATCCGCATTTTCTTAAGATTTGAACTTCCATTTATATATATATATATTTGTTTTTCATTTTGTATTTTTTGCCAATATGAAATGATAAGAGAGTTTGGGATGATATCTTACTCACACTTGTATGGAAAGCGTTTTGTCAGTAATTTTAGAAAAATAATTTAAAAAAAATATCCTAAAACCATTAAATTAAATTGAACAAATTCTCGTATATATCCTATGAAAAATCTAGAATACCGCGGGGGTACTACGTCACTTATTCCACTCACCAATGCATTTCACCACCTATGAATATTTTTTCTTTCCTGATCTTTATCATTAAAGTGATTGGTAGTTATCAATTTAAAAATATATGTAGCAACAATGTATTGGTTGATGGTACGGGTGACACTTCGCGAAACCTTTCAACCTCATACACTCTCTACACTTGTTGCTCTTGTCATGACGTTGCAGAATAAGGTCATGAGACATGGTATTCTTGTGGCGTGCGTTTGTTTCTTTATCCTATTATTATTCCAAATCAAAATGCATATTTGTTTTTTATTCTCAAAATCATATCCAAAATTATTTAATTATTTTTAATTTTCAAATCTTATCTCGTAATAACCACTCAACTCTACCTAACAATAGTATTTTAAAAATACTTCTCCAAACTCATATCCCATTACTTGTCTTTTTGACTTATATATATACATAGGGGCAGATGCTACTCAAATGGCCCACCCTCAATTATTTTTTTAAAATATTAATATGTATAATTTTTTATTTTGACACACCCTAACAGAAATTTTTGAATCCACCCTTATATATATACGATAACTTGGTGTATCGACTATGCAACCATTTTAGTATATATATATATATACTAAAATGGTTGTATAGTTGATACACCAAGTTATCGTTGCAAACCCGAGATATTATTACAGCAAGGGATGACCAAAATTCTAGAGCTCTGATTCAAAATTATCTTGATTCATCCCACTACGAGGAATTGCCAAAACATTTGACTCTTCATGCATTCCAATATAAAGGATTAGTCAATCAAATAATAGATAGTAAATGGGTCGGTTTGAAAATAAATGAATTGCTTGTCGTAGAATATTATTCTCGTCAGACTTAAACCTAACTAAAATAACAAACCAAGGTTTCATACAATTTTTCCCCTTTCACCTAAGTCATATATATACATGGGTTGGTTTGAAAATAAATGAATTGTTTATCGTAGAATATTATTCTCGTCAGACTTAAACCTAACTAAAAAAACAAACCAAGGTTTCGTACAATTTTCCGCTTTCACCTAAGTCATATATATGATCTTTTACGAGCTCTAATTCAAAATTATCTTGATTCATTCCACCACGAGGAATTGCCAAAACATTTGACTCTTCATTCATTCCAATATAAAGGATTAGTCAATCAAATAATAGATAGTAACTGGGTTGGTTTGAAAATAAATGAATTGCTTGTCGTAAAATATTATTCTCGCCATACTTAAACCTAATTAAAATAACAAACCAAGGGTTCGTACAATTTTCCCCTTTCACCGAAGTCATATATATATATATATATGACCTTTTACCATTTTATATTTGGAAGTACAAACTTTGACATCGTCAATTGAAAGCAAAAGCTACTTAACGCGTTAATTATTTCATTTTCAAGGTGATTATGAAATATAATCAAATATTTAATGACTTCAACAGGTGATCAATAGAAAAAAATTGAGTGCCCTTTTTGTGGCTTTTGTTAATTATTTTCTTCAGATTCATTATCTTCTTGTGATAATTGATATTTAGATTTTGTAAAAGATTATGACAATGATTAATATTTTAATTAAAAAAGAGGAGCATACGATCCAAGGAATAGTTGAAGCTTATACTATTGAAATTTCGTGGCATTGAGTGATAAATATATTAATATGGATATTATTATTTATTATAATTGATTTGTATACAACAATGCACAGAAATTTCGAAGCAATTTGTTGGTGAATATAAGTACTAATATTCAAGTTGCCAAATGCCAATTCTTTCTCTAGGAAATGGATAACTATAGCATTCGCTTTTTAAAAATTTAATTCAGCAAACGTTTTTTCATTTTTTTTAATGTTTAAACTATGTTACTTGCTCAAATACTTAATAGCTATAATTTTTTTTTTTTTTTTTTTTTGAGCACGGTATCCAGGTTAGTTTACGCGCTCCTCAACTTAATCCTCGATGGCATGGACTCCTTGAACACCCTACTAGACTAAATCTCTGGTGTTCAAATCCCCGATGTTCAAGGGATCCATCACCCTACAAACCCAATGGGCTACGTAACTCACAAATGTGGTAACCAGACTAAATCCTCAATGTTTAAGAGATTCATCACCCTACAAGCCCAATGAGCCAGGTAAATCACAAATGTGGTAACTGGAATAAATTCCCGATGTTCAAGAGGTCCATCACCTACAAGCATAATGGGTCAGATGAGTCACAAATGTGGCATGTGTTCACTTGATGGTACTCAAACATAAGACTTCTGGATAACTTAAGGTCTTGCCATTCGACCACAAGCCAAGTGGTCAATACTTAATAGTTATTAATCTAAGTTTTACCGAAATCCAAAATTAGGTTAAAATTAAACAAGAATATAAAAAGTTAAACATTTTTCAATTTTTAAACTAGAAAAAATAAGTATTTGTGGTGATTGATTCTTATAAATTAAATCAAATCCTTCAGGAGGTGGATGATCGAATGCATTAGATATGTTGTCCTTGAGAGCTATAAGGTAAGGTGTGTGAGGCAAGTTGAGTGAGACATTGTTGATAGACCAACGGTAATAGCCATCGACAAGATTTTGTGTGTTGAGAAGAACAATCGTTTTGTCTGCGGTCGGGGTTGGGGGGTTGACGAAGCCCTGGCGGGCTTTGATGGCTATTCCTTGGTTAAGGCGGGGAGCAATGTTGCTCCAAAGAGGGCCATGGGGTGCAACTGTGGAAGGAGCTGCTATGCGTCGGTTCGGCTGGTAATTGAGAATGGCTATTCCTAGTGGAGTTGTGGCATTTCTGGCCACAACATTGGTTGTCATCCAATAGTTTCTTGAAGGGTCTTGGTCAGTTTTTATCAGGACCGAGTAGGTCTCTCCCGAGCATATGTTCAAGTTTTGTACCACAAGTGGCTCCACATAGTGCCCATCTTCTTCAACAACAGTCATATTTGAGGCCCTGCATATGAAAATTGGATCAGAAAAACGATGTCGAGTTAAAGGATTACATTCAGTTATCACTTGATTTGAAAGCTGAAACAAATAATGTCTCCGCCTGTAACATTAATTACCTCAATCTTGAAACTGAGGGCTGACAGAGCAGCCAAGCTAGAGATCCTTAACCTGTAAGTTTTGCCAGGGGTAACTTTTAACGTATAAGGAGAACATTCAGGATTTAAATAATTACAAACACTTGTAATATTTATGGCTGGGTAGGTAAAAAGAGAGTAGTTGTATCTTCCTCTTCCGTTTAACAGAAGTGACTGAAACATAAAACAAGAAAAACAGATCAGAACTCTTTACAAAAATGTGCAAGTTTGATATGTTTCTGGTGAAATTATGCAGCTTCTGTGAAGTACCTGAGGCTCCTCAATCCAAGTGAATGGTATAGATTTCAAGCCAGTGATTTGTTCCCAAGTGCTTTTGTGGTACCAATCGTTCAGGATGATGCTTTGATCATAATCATAAGCGAATGGTTCAGCTTGTCCTTTAGGAAGTCTCACTTGAATGGATCCATATAGACCAGCTTCCATTTGCATCCCATAATGAGCATGGTACATATATGTTCCAGGCTGCATTCAACAAAACTAAATGGTTATTTTATTTGAAAACTGTTTTTGAAAACATTTTAACAGTATCGTTTTCAGAGAAAATAGAAGAACAGAATCTAAACATTTGAGTTATATCTTCAAAAGTTTCTGAGCCTGGTAGAGCTCAGCCTCTCACCTTGTCAACAATAAATTGGTAAGTGAGTGTTTCTCGGGGAAGAATTGGACATTAAGTGACTCCTTTTGTGCCATCGAACCAAGGAGTTCCAATCTGAAACCAATCAAGAAATCAATCATTTAAGCAACCAAAAATCATTACCAAAATGACCTAAACTTACCAAACTTTTAATTCTTCACATTACCTGTCGAATTCCATGCCAATGGACTGCAACATTCTCAGTTACCAAGCCGTTCTTAGGCTCAATAATAATGGTGTCATTCTGCTCAGCCACAATGGTTGGCCCTGGACTTCTTCCATTAATGGTGATCACCAATTTCTTGATGCAATCTGGCGGCCTGTACTCGTAGCGCACTTCCCACATGAATCTCTTAGTTCCGGCCTCAGCAGCAGCAATATTTACACACGAAACGATCAAAACACACAAAACAAAAAAGGTTGAACATCATCTTTCTGAATTTCGAAGCCACAACAATGTCAATGGCTGGCTCCGAAATCCTAGAAAGATAGAAGCTCTGAGTTGGGATTAACTCTGTTTCTGTCATCAGCTCCTCCAGGTTTATATATAATATATTTTAGGAGCTCTCTCGTGATTTTCGTTTAGAGAGTAATGTAAAAGGGTGGAAAAGGTTGGCGAGCTGACCAAAAATAGTATGATTATTGATTTGTAAGATAGTTTATTATTGGCCTTACAATAAATATAAAGCGAAAGAAATAAGTAATATTACAGTTATTGAATTTATGCACCGAATGACGTGATAAAATCATGACTGTTGATTTATTATAAGTTACTATTAATCAACGGTCAAGATTTTGTCATGTCATTCGATACACAAATTCGATGTGTAACTTTCGGTAACTCTATTATTTTTCGAAAGAAATATGAGGGTAACTTGGCATATTCCAGCGTTAAAGGGTTGGATTATATTGACCTTTTATTTAAGTTTTTTAAATCTTTATCTTGGTGTCCTAGTTGAAGGATATTAATATAATGAATCGACACAAAATAAGTTGAGTTGGTTTTTGTATTGATCTAAGAAAGGTTGGATTGAAACCAGTTCTAAGAATATGGTTAAACTTAAATCGACACAGAACTAATATAGATGATCACTGGGGCTCTTACTCGATCGATAGTTATAAAGTCTCTTTAGATTATTTAAGGTGCGCGCAAATTAGTTCGGACATTCTGTGATAAAATAATAATAATAATAATAATATTGGTTCAGTTTCAGGAGTTATATGTTATTCCTTAAAGGAGGGCAAACAATGGCGTCATATTGTAATTAATTATGCAGATATCCAATTTGCCTTTATCTAATACAAATTGCATCCATTTTTAATTACACCTTTGTTTGATTTACTTCACCGAGTTATTGATATTCAAAAGGTTAATTTATTATCATACAACTTCTCAAGGTTTCAGTTTATTCTTCTAATAATCAAACAATGCGGTCTATTCTATTTCTGTTTCTTGGTTTTATTGATCTAATTTTTTTTTTGTTGCTTAGCAAAATTAAAAGATGTACTTGAAATATATGGCTTTCACGGCCTCTAATGACACCGCAAGGTATAACAAGTAGTGATGACAATGGGTCAAGTTAGGACCGGGTACCCCTTGGCCCAGACCCAAGCTCAACCTCATGACAAAGGCCCTGGCCAACACGAGTATAATCGGTAAAGCCCAAACTCGGCCTGATTGGTTTTTTGTAACCTCAAGCTCAGCCCATTTTTATAATGTGAATTTTTAAATATTAATAAATTTCAAATTTTTTTTTTATATTTTTAATTCTAGAAACAATTTTTAAATATTGATTTATTTTTGAGTACTCACCAAATATATAAATAACTTTCCACAAAATGCATCTATTCATCTATGTAGGGTTTGGGAAAATGAGTATATATATAAGATAGTCTTGTAATTAAATATATAGTATAAGAGTAATTTAGTATAATTAATATTAAAATTGTCAGGCTGGGCCGGAAGACATACCCAGGCCCGACTCGTACCCAAGGTTGGGCCTTAAAACCAGGCTCAAGCCCAAGCCCAAGCCCACGAACATTGGGTAAAGCCCGACCTTTTCTGGCCGAGTACTCGAAAATATTGAGTCCATTGCCATCTCTACTAACAAGGCTCTAAATGTGCCAAGAGGCTGGATGTGGCCTTTAGTATAGTCATGAGGCCTTCACGAGCTAAACCCTACCCCTAATCCTTGCCCCAAATCCACTTCTTTACTACCACCTCGACAATGTTTCCTAGAAAAAGAAAAGTAATGATTTTGGATTTAGTTTGTAGAGTTTGAATCGTTGTATGTTGAATTTTTGTTTTTGGGTTTTGTAATAGTTGCTTGTAATGTTTATTGGTAGTGGTGGATAAGTAAAGATTTGATAAGTTTTTGGGTAATAATTGAGAATTTCATAAGTTTTGGGGTAACGAAAGTTGTTAAACTTATATAGAAGGGTAAAAATATCATTTTCCGTCAGAACGAGGATTTGGTTAATCTTGATCCCAAAGCAGCAGGTGACTTTGTAATTTCCTAAAACATATGGGGGTCAAGCGAGATCGATCTCACAGTCAAGTTTTTAACTAAACATTTTTATATTGTAAAATGACCATTAAGCCCCTAAAATTTTCATAAGGTGCCGCTAAACTTTCCCGCCCATCTCGGAAATTAAAATTATTTTGAAAAATTCCAGAAAACAATCAGTGCGTCACCGCCGTTCCTTAAACCGAAATCAACTCTCACATTTAAGTTTCTTAAACCCAGAAAAAACCTATCCTTACCTTTCTCAGTTTCTCTTCCCTTTTCGTCTGTCTGAACCCATCAACCAAAATGGGTCGACCCGCGAAAAGGAACATCCGAGAGAAGCCGGTGGAGGAGAATGAAGATCCGGTTTCCAGTGCATCACCGCCGTCCAAGAAAACAAAGCAGCAGGACAGCGATCGGGTTGTGTTATTGAACAGGGAGAAAAAGAAGACCCAAAAGAACAAACCCGACTCCGAACTCTCCCTCGTTGGCCCGCCCGTTCCGGCTTCTGAAGCTCAGAAGAAATGGCCGAGTAGATATTCATATACTTGCAAATCCTCCTCCAAGGTTAAACTGATTTTTTATATTTTCCGGAAATGTTTTTGCTTTGGAGTTTCTGATTTTTTTTTTTTTTTCTTTTAGAAGAAGAATGGAGCTCCAGCAGAGACTGCTCTTAATCGGTGAGAATTTTATTTAATAAACATTTTTCATTGATGATTAATTATTATTTTTTGTAGCGTAAAATTGTTTATGGATAAAAAAGTGTTATTTTTAAAGCATTTTTTAGTTTATTATAAAAAAAAAATTGGTTTTTTTATTAAGCACTTCCGGGTAAAAGGAAATGAAACCCTTTTTCTCGCTTGTTCAAGAACAAAGCAAGGAGTAGTGATATTTTGGTTATCCAGATTTTTGGAGAGGTAAGGCCCCGGCTTCACTCCCTGATTTTCAAAAATAACGTGAGAGTCCGTAATATAATAACAGATTGGGATCTCCCAAGGGAGTGCATTGCTGTAGATGTGGGTATAGATCTTTAATTTTTTATCTATGCTTTCCTGTCCGTTTTGCATTATGCTTTATTTTGTAATCTGAGAAGCTGCAGTATGTGCAACTCTGAGTATGTTTGTGTGCACTGTTGTATTGTTGTGTTTGGAGGTTTGCTTTGTGGTGTTGAAGTGTGGGGGGATAATGAGGTGTATAGCCATGAAGATGGGTGTGTTTGTGATTTTTTTTTTTATTGGAGGACCGGCAGTAAGAAGGGGATGCCAGGGAGGGTCTTTGACTGCCTCACTGGGATGATTAAGTTTTGGATGTGTTGGGGTATCAGGAGAAGTCCAGATGACAGGTGGGGGGGCTGGGGTTCTTATTTTGGGAGGATGATCTGGTGCAATAACCAAATCAAGAACTGCAGATTTTTTGCGGACTGCTGCAGGGTGTTTTATGGGTTTTGGGTGAATGTTGTGCTTGGTTTGGCTGCCGTTGATCAGCTCCATTGGAAGACAACAGTGAGGGGAGAAGGCCTAAATCTTATGCTGGGGACTATGGAAGGTTGGCTGGATTCCAAAAGGGTGCTAGGAAGTACTGGAGTTGGAACTCGTTCTGGGTTCTTGAAGTTACAAATTGGTTTTATTGGGATTAATGGGTGCTGGGCTTGGAATTTTTTTTTGGGGCTGGATATCATAATGGAGGATAGGGCTCTTATGAAGTTGTTCGGGGTGATGGATACGTGGGCTGTTCCCTATGCAAGGTTATGCGGACCATTTTGCTTGGGTAGTTTTTTTTGAGCCAATTGCTTGGACAATTTGTGTGGGCTGTTGGCTGTTAGATTTATTCTTCTTTATATGGACTCACCTTTGGGTTGTGTTGAGTCTTCACCCAAAACCCAAAACCTTAAATCCCGCTTTTTTATTTTGACACTTTTTGATTTTGAAGAAGTGTTTGATTTTTTTTTTTTTTTTGGGGTAAAGTTGAAGAAGTATTTAATTGATATATGTCTAGAAAGTATTTTTTAACTTGAAAGATGGTTAAAACCTTTTCAAAGAAGACCTGATAATTTTATTTTTTAAAGTGTTTTTCAATGTCTTAATAAAACATTTTGCTTTTTTAAAAGCCTTCCATAGGGCTTCTAGTCATTTTTATTTATGAATTGATACATAATATTGTTGTATTGATTTCTGTGTTCTTGATATAGTGGATCAAATGAAGAGGAAGAAGTTCTACAGGCAAAGTGTCATTACACGAAAGCTTTAATAGATGGGTGTGAGTACAATCTTGGCGATAATGCTTATGTAAAGGTAACTTCTTAATTCTTTATCTTCTTTTTATTGAAAGTGTTTCTTAGTTCATATATTGATAATCACTTAATGTTCAGGCTGAGGATGGGAAGCTTGATTACATAGCTAGAATCATTGAGTTGTTTGAAGGTACTGATGGGGAGCCATACTTTACGGCTCAATGGTTTTATAGAGCTGAAGATACGGTAAGATTATTCAAGTTATTTCATATCTTTTCACCCATATCTTTATGATCTATTCTGGTGTATTGAACTTGTAATTTTTGGTCATTTATAGGTCATCAAGGACCATGCAAATCTTATTGACAAAAAAAGAGTATTTCTCTCAGATGTTAAGGATGACAATGCACTAAATTGTATCGTGTCTAAAGTAAAGATTGCTCAAGTTGCCTCAAATGTAAGAGTATTGCATTGTGCTTCCTTTAATATTGTTATCTTTTCAATTGGTGCATTCATATCAATATAAAAGGTCATAACTAATTCAATTAACAATGCAGATGAACTTAAAGGCAAAGGAGGAAAAAATTCCTCCTTGTGACTTGTATTATGATATGAAATACACATTGCCATACTTGACTTTTTCAAACATAATCACAGGTAACTTATATTGCCCTTATAATATGGAATTTTTCATTTTTCTGTTCAATTAATTGATGTTGTTTGCTTTATTAACTCAGAAATTGATAAAAGTGGTAGTGATACATCGACAATTTCAAGTGAGAGTAGTTCAAACAATAGCATTGGGAATTCTGAAATGAGTTTGCTGGACTTGTATGCTGGCTGCGGTGCCATGTCTACTGGTCTGTGCATTGGTGCATCATTATCTGGAGTAAAATTAGTAACAGTAAGTAAATAATTGAAACTTGGTGATTTTTCCATTATCTTTTAGTGAAAGGATTTGCATTATGTCAATATCAAAGATATTATTTTTTAACTAATTAGAAGTATATTGATTCCTTATTGTATTTAACGTAGAGGTGGGCTGTTGACATAAATACTGATGCATGTAAAAGTTTGAAATACAATCATCCTGAGACACAGGTATAGTGTCTTTTTAAATTAGTACTCTTAATTGCTTATATGCTAAAGATTTTCAGTTAAGTTTGATATCACATCAAAATATATTTTTTGGATGAGCAGGTGAGGAATGAGGCAGCAGAAGATTTTTTATCTTTGTTAAAGGAATGGGAAAAGCTGTGCCAGCAATTTTCATTGTGTTGTTTAGATAAAGAGCCAGAGCAGAGTTTCAACTCATTTAACATAGAAGAAAAAGAGGAAGAAGAAGATGAAGAAGAAAATGATAAAGCCTCCAATGTTTCTGATGAGGAATTTGAAGTGGAGAGGTTATTAGCTATTTGTTATGGTGATCCTAACAAAGTAAAGAAACCTGGAGTGTATTTTAAGGTATCGTATATTTCATTTGGAAAGGATTGGCCACATGTTACATTTGTTTAATTGTCTTTGTTGTTAAGTTCTTTATATGACATATTTCATTACTGATCAAATTTTTCTTGATATGTAATTCACTTTTTTCTTTGAAATGTTTGTTTCCTAGTTTGGATAGTTGTGGAGTTTCTTTCATTAGTTTTGTTGCATTGTTTGGCAAATTTATGGCATTGCTTTTGTTTAATTGTCTAATCAAAATCTGTATAGATGTAATAAAGGCAGAGAATTGGAATTTGAGATCTATTGATTGCAATAGTTACCCATTTCTTGTTTTGTTATTCATTGCCTTGTCTACCTGCCTAAGCTGGTCTTTGGGAGTTTGATTTTGTTTCAGTCTTGCCTCAATGCATTTTCCATTTGTCTGCCTAGAGTTTTAACTATATCACTAGGCAATGACTTCTAATAAAAAATGAACAAGGGAGCAAACATATGAGCGTACTGGACTTATTTAGCTACATATTGACATGGATATAACATTCTTATCTTGTCATTCTTGAATTGTGAATATTAAAAGTTTGGTTGAGAACTTATGTTTTTGTGAAATGTATAGGGTTAACCAATATTTTTTCCTTGCTCTAAGGTTGCTTTTTATCTTAATATTCCGCATTTTGTCATCTTGATAAACTTGATACCAACCTTTTATTTATTGTATGTGAATTTTAGGTGCGTTGGAAGGGATACGGTCCTAGTGAGGACACTTGGGAGCCTATTGAGGGCTTGAGGTACTCTATTATGAAATTGTCATTGTATTTTCTTCTTTCATTGTTTTCTTGTTTCTTGTATAACAAACTTGTCTCACTTTACATTTGCATTAGTACTTGCGAGGAGAAGCTGAAAGATTTTGTTATAAAAGGGTTTAAGTTGAAGATATTGCCACTTCCTGTGAGTTCCTTTTCATATATTTTCTATTGTTAGTGGATCTCTTTTATCATAATCATCATCATCATCATCATTATTATTATTATTATTATTATTATTATTATGTTTTGCATGATGTTCATTTTGTTGAATGTCTATGTAGGGCAATGTTGATTTTATATGTGGGGGGCCTCCATGTCAAGGAGTTAGTGGTTTCAATCGTTTTAGAAACTCAAAAGCTGCCTTGGAAGACATAAAAAATCGTCAGCTATTAGTGTTCATGGACATTATTGAGTTTCTAAAGCCAAGATATGTTTTAATGGAGAATGTTGTAGATATTTTAAAGTTCGCTGGTGGATTTTTGATTCGTTATGCTATTGGACGTCTTGTTTCCATGGACTATCAAACTCGATTAGGGATTATGGCAGCAGGTTCTTATGGTTTAGCACAATTTCGGATGCGGGTTTTCTTGTGGGGTGCTCATCCGTTTAAGGCAAGTGTATTCTTTAATTTAATTTGAACATGACACCATGAGCTATGTGATCTTATCGACTTTTCTTCTTTTATCAGAAACTACCACAATATCCATTGCCAACTCATGAGGTCTTATCCAAGGGTCTTGTTCCAGCTGAGTTTGAGGTATGTTTTTTTAATGGATATGTGATCAGTGTTGGCAAAAATTTTACCAAATATTTGTCATTCATCCAGGAAGTCACTGTTGCATATGCCAAGGACCAACCTTGTCAGTTAGAAAAGGCTGTTCGTCTTGATGATGCAATATCAGATCTCCCGCCAGTAAGTGTTGCTCCCAAAAATATATCCTTAACTTTTTCAAAAAGCTTTAGTGTTTTGTGTTGTTTGATGAAATTTCATTCTCGTCTTAGGTTACAAATGATGAGAGTCAAGATGAGAGGAATTACGGGACAGCAGCTCGCACAGAGTTTCAAAAATATATTAGAGTAAAGCGAAACTGTAAGCTTAATCGAATTTATATTGCTCTTCGTAATGTAAATCTTATAAAATAGTCAACTAGTGAATTGTATTAAGTTGATCAACTTTTGCATCTTTGTAGATGTAGTCAGTCTTTCTACTCCTCAAAATGCACCACGTCCTGGGTTATTGTATGACCATCGACCGTTGAAACTTAATGAAGATGATTATGAAAGAGTCTGCCGTATTCCGAAAAAGAAGGTTTAATTGCTTTACCTAATAACATTACACCACTTATTGGTTTTACAACTTTTTTGCGTACTTATTGTTTATCAGTTCTACCTATTCTTTGTTTTTAGGGTGCAAACTTTAGGGACCTACCAGGTGTCTTGGTTGGTCCGGATAACAAGGTAGTTTGGGACCCTTCAATGGAAAGAGTGATGCTTAAATCTGGGAAACCATTGGTAATACACTTAACTTAATCTTTTTCATCTCTCTTTTCATGAAAAGGTGTCTAATTGGTTTAATCGTTTGTATAGGTCCCTGATTATGCTATGACCTTTATCCGTGGTACATCAACCAAGTAAGAACCAGTTTATTCTGGATGAGTTGTTACTTCTGATGGTTCACCTCTCTAATATCTTATACCTTAATTGATTTCAGACCATTTGGCCGCCTATGGTGGGATGAAATTGTCACTACAGTTGTGACAAGAGCGCAGCCTCACAATCGGGTATGCATTTGAATCAACTATCATGTTCCACTATACATAAATAACTCAATTTTAATATACGTCCTCATAATTATTTTTCTCAGAGTGTACTTCATCCTGTACAAGACCGAGTACTCACAATCCGTGAAAATGCAAGATTACAAGGATTCCCAGACTGCTATCGACTTTTTGGGTCAGTCAAAGAGAGGCAAGTGACTTTGAACTCTTTTGGATTTTCCTTTGAATAGCTTTTGTATTGGAGTTTCATTATCTTAAATATATATTTTGTATGAGTTTATTAAAGGGCATATGAATACTGTCGTATGGTGGTCATTTTAAGATTGTGTCTATTTAATTGGACATTTTAAAACTTGTAGAATTCCTTAGCATTAAAATTACATAAAGGGTCTAGTTTTTAGTATTGAACATTCGAGATCATTTTTCATTTTTCAGGTACATACAAGTTGGGAATGCAGTAGCAGTCCCGGTTGGTATTGCACTGGGATATACATTTGGTCAAGCTTGTCAAGGATTATCCGATGACCAGGCTTTGACGACTCTCCCTTTCAAGTTCCCCAAATCTCTTGCACAGTCATCTTCAACGAAAGTGAAAGATGATTCTGATTGAAACTGAAAGAGAATACAAATTAGACCCCTTAGTCTAGTTCATTCTTAATTTAACTTTCTAACAATTATTTGTTGGCAATGGATGTACAAGTTTGATGAATCCAAGAAAATTAGTTTAAAAAACAATATGAGATCTCATGCACCTTTATGGCCATCTTTGAAACAAGGGAAAAATTTGAGCTGCACTGGTTAATATTGACAATTGAAAGTTAGGGGGTGCAATGTTACTCCAAAGAGGGCCAGGGGCTGCAACTGTGGAAGGAGCTGCTCTGGGTGGGTTCGGCTGGTAATTGAGAATGGCTATGCCTGGTGGAGTTCCAATCTAGAACCAATAAAGAAATTATTTAACCATTTCTGCAATCAAAATCCAGTATCAAAACTTCTAAGTCCTTACATTACCTGTCGAATTCCATGCCAATGGATGGCAACATTCTCAGTTACCAAACCGTTTTCATTTTTTAAGCTCAATAATAATGGTGTCATTCTGCTCAGCCTCTACGGTTGGCCTTGGACTTCTTCCATTAATGGTGATTTCTTGAAACAATTTGGAGACCTGTATTCATAATTTCATACTTCACTTCCCAATTGTATCTCTTGATTAATATTTACATAGGAAACAAGTCAATAACTCACAACCCAGCATCGAACGTTTCACAAAGTTTTTGATCTGATTTATTTGACAAGATATGATTTTAGTTTTGATGTTTTTTCAAACTTTTAATTCATACCATAAAGGGTGAAACTTTTTGACAAAGGGACCAATGTTAGGATATTTATTTAAGATTTTTCTATTCAGCTTCAAAGGGCTGGTTTTTATTGAACTTTTAAGATTTTGAAAGAAAATGAATTCATTGTTGTATTGTATCTATAAATAATCTCCTAACAACTAATAAATAAACATTTACAATCTTCAAAACAAAAAGGGAAAAAAAAATTAATTGGGCCTATTATCTGCACACAGCCCTTGATAGCAGAAGCAAGCTCCAAGCCTTTCAATTCCTTCCGCAAACACAACTCCCATACCCATGTAAAAAGTGGACTCTATATGGCAATGAAAAGCCCAAGCTCCAGAGATCCGCCTGGATCTAAAGCAGTCCACCCATATTTATGAACCGGCACAGTATTTTCATAATTGGGTTTACCAAATTGAACTTCTTTGGGTCATTGTATATGTCAAACTTGCCTTCTCCATAGCCTAGCACCCAAAATCTGCCCATGTAAATGCCAAGGATGTGTCTCACTATTGTTCACGGTCATTGTATTTGCATTCTGAAGAATTATAATCCATGTTGAATTGAATTGTAGCCGGTAAATGCCACTGCTTTTGGTTGCATTTGTATTCGGGGCAACATTGTAAATGTTATAGTTTTTAAAATCATATCCATTAGGAGGTGGTTTGATCAAACATGGAGTAAATTGTCCTTGAGAGCTATGAGGTAATGTGTGTGGCAGGTTGAATGGACATTGTTCGGACCAGCGATATTGGCCATTGACAGTGTTTTGTGTGTTGAAATACTATCATTCTTCCGCGGTCGGGGGCGGGGGGACGATGAAGCCCTTGCGGGCTTTGATGGCTTGACTCTGGTTGTACCGGTGCAACGTCATTCCAGAGGGGGCCAGGGGGTGGGATTGTGGGAGGAGACCTTCTGAATGGTTTGGATAGTATTGATAATGGCTAACCCTGGTGGAGTTGTGGCATTTCCTCACAACATTGGTTGTGGCCCAGTAATTTCTTGAAGGGTCTTGGTCAGCTTTGATTAGGACTGAATATGTTCTCCTGAATATATGAACAGTTTTGCACCACAAATGGCTCCACATAGTGCCCATCTGCCTCAACAACAGTCATATTGTGGCCTGCATATGAAAATTGGATCAGGAAAATAGTCCAATTACAAAAGTAAATGGGCAAGCCCAAATAGATAGAAGGTTTAGGCTATGTTTATCTATAAATTTTGCAATTCCTTTGCATTTTTCTTGTATTGAATTAACCAAATTTCCCTTCGCTTATAAATTTTTAAAAATTTATACTACACAAAAGAGAAAATAGGTGAGAAAAAGAGAGAAATATGAGCCTACCTTTTATATAAAAATTATATGTTTTCTATCTCTTTTATATTTTTCTCTTTTCTCTCGTAAAACAAAAATTTAAAATGAGAATTCAACCATTGATATATTTGACAACATTCTTCAAAATGAATAAATAGTGATAATTTAAAGTGGTTATATGAACTGGGGAGATGATAAAGTTTAATTGTCAGAATCTTTATACAAATAAAAGTTAATTCAAGGACTGTTAAAATTTAATTACCTTATTGAGAAATATGACCTACCTTTTATATAAAAAATAATTTTCAAATAAAAATTATATTTTATTTCTCTTTTTATATTTTTCTTGTAAAAAATTTAAGATGAGAATTCAATCACTGACTATTTGAGACAACTCTTTAAAATATAAAATAAGTGTAATTTAAAGGGTTATATGAAACGGTGAGATGATAAGTTTAAGTTGTGAATCTTTATATAAATAAGATGTTAATTCAAGGACTGTGAAAATTAATTACCTCTATCTGAAGGCTGAGGGCTGAGAAGCAGTCAAGCTAGAGATCCTTAACCGGTAAGTTTTTCCGGGGATAACTATCGTGTTTAGGGAGCAGTCAGATTTGTAGCATTGCAAACACTGGCACATTGGTGCTTGGAGTTGTCAAAAGAGAGCAGTTGAATCTTCCTTTTCCGTTTAATAGAAGTGACTGAAACAGAAAACGGAAATAAAATAAGAAAAATAAACATAAATCTTCCTCTTTCTGGAGAAATTAAGCGGCTTCTGTGAATTACCTGAGGTTTCTCCAACCCATTGGAATGGACGGAGGACAAGCCAGCGGCTTGTTCATAAGTGCTTTTGTGGTACCAATCGTTCAGGATGATGCTTTTATCATAATCATAGGCAAATGTTCAGGTTCCTTTGAGGATACACGAATTGATCCATATAGACCGGCTTCTCTTTGCATCCCGTAATGAGCATGGTACAATATGTTCCAGGCTGCAGTAAACCAAATTAAATGTTCATATGTGATTCGAAAATAATTTTCAGAATTTTAAAAAACTGATAAAAGAAGACACTAAATTTTAAAAAACTAATATAAGAAGACAAAAAAGGACATAAATTCAAGTACAAGAAAAGACAATTTGTAGTTGGTGTTTGTTTTGAGTTTCTGTAAGTGTGAAGCAGTAAAATATGAAAACTGAAAAAAAAAATGGTTTGCACTTAATTTGCAGATTTTTTTCTAGTTTTTTAAAACGGTTTTTTGGAAACATTTTAATGTAAAGCTCAGCTACTCACCCTGTCAACAACAAATTCATAAGTGAATGTCTCTCCCGGAAGAATTGGACATTGAGTGACTCCTTCTGTGCCATCAAACCAAGGAGTTCCAATCTGTAAACAATTAAAAAAAAATATTAATTAACTTCTGCAATAAAAAATCAGTATCAAAACACACGAATTTTAGAAAACTTTTTAACTCTTTACATTACCTGTCGAATTCCATGCCAATGGATGGCAACATTCTCGGTTAACAATCTGTTCTTCAGCTCAACAATGATGGTGTCATTCTGCTCAGCCACTATGGTTGGCCCTGGAGTTCTTCCATTAATAGTGATCACCAATTTCTTGACGCAATCTGGAGACTTGTACTCATACTTCACCTCCCATTTGTATCTCCGGATTTTTGCCTCGGCAAGAGGAATATTTACGCAGGAAATAATGATCAAAAAACACAAAATAAACAAGTTTTCTGCAACAGCCATGGCTATAGCTCTTAAATCCTGGAAAGAGACAAGATGAGAGTTGTGATTAAGAGTACTTCTATTAGCATCTCCTCATATTATATATATACATACATATTAAATACGGGAATTTCTCTGGTTATTTCAAGGAAAAAGAAGCCAAGGGTTCAATGGTTGAATAGTTTATAGGCGGGCGGTCCAAGAATTAATATTTTATTCATTTTATCATATAATAATAGAAATGGAAGCTTCAGGACAACTGTGGGCATATACCAGCGTGAAAGGTGATCATACGATATTCACATACTAATTAAGATTTTGAAAGCTTGTATCCGTAATTATCCTGGATTAATTCGGTAACGCTTTTGAATCATGGTTGAAAGAGATTTTAAAAATTTTAATATGACATTTATTGACAATCTCGATAACATTACTAGGATAAACTTCTACTCAATTCATTAATAAGAGTTTAGATTGAAGGGTAGTGTTATCCCCGAGAATAAAATATATATAGCCTCACTTGATATATCGAGTTTTGTATCAAAGGTTAAACTAACATTACTGTCTTTTAACGTTAAGTTGTTAATATGTATTTTAATTCATCACTAATCTTCTTATTGGTGTCGGCATGATAACATTACTTAATTGATACCAAAGTAGGTCCTATAATAAGTTGTTTTTAAACATGTACAAGCACTTTTATAAACATGTTTTTTTTTTTTTTTTTTTCGGGTATCCGGACAGTTTGTGCACACCTTAACTAGTTTCTCGGAACCCTGAAGTTAACAGTTAAGTAAGCCTACAATGATTACCCCTTATCAATAGTCACAGGGATTCGAACTTAGAACTTCAAGTAATATACTCAAGACTCCCATATGAATTGTCAAACTACTTAGAGATAGTTATAAACATGTTTTTCATTTCCTATATTTATGTGGTTTTTTTTATTCTCTAAATTAAAACAAAAACTTGTTTGAAATTGTGAGCTAATAAATAGGTCTAAAAAATTGTTGACCCAATCAACTTTGACTCTACATTAATAAATCTTATTGCTTTAATATACATAAACCTCTAATAAAATTGAATTATATTATAATATTCACATAAATTATTTTCTTGATTTTTGAATTGAGTTAAGCAATTATAAATTTCTTGGTCAAGATTGACGAGCACATCCCCAAGAATAAAAAAACGTGATTCAAATTCCAATGGTTTGAAGAAGTCAAACCAAACATATATTTGTACAGGATCGATCTGTAAATTTTTTTATTCTGTTCTACGTATCTACTTTCGAGTTGTCATAATGCAAATATTGACTTGATTAAATTAAAGGACTTTGGTTTTATTTATTTAAATGCTTCAATCAAGCAACCGCGTAGAACAATTATTAATCCTGATCACTTTAATCTTTTCAATTACTTTTAATTGTCTTTACTCTTATAATTAGCTTTCTGGGAAATATCCTTGCATGTGCTTTGCTTATCTTCTTCTCCATGTATGACCTATATTTTTTCCTTTTTTATAATTATTTTAGAATGTGACTTTTGATTTTTAAATAGTAAAGTAAACGTCTTTAAAAAATAATCTAAAATATCATACAAATATCAAATATGTTATAAGTTAATGTATTTATGTTTTACTTAATTTTTTTTTCTTTTAACTATATTTATAATTAATATGATTGAAGATGATAATATTGTATATCTATGTCTCAATATAAATAGGACCTTTAAATGTTTTTATGATTTTTTCTTTTATAACCCGAATTTAAAACTTGAATCTTCCTCAAACCTCAAAATTTTTTAGAAGTAAAAAATTATGGGTAAAACTATACTTATCGATTTTGCATACTGACTTAGTCCAACCACTTCGCACTCCACGTTAGTCTGGATGGGGAGTCGATATGCATATTCGATCATATTGTATCCAATAAAAACCGCGTAACTAAAACACATATTTTGATGCTGTTAATTTACACAAAAGTTAAACATTATTTGATAAAATATATAATTTTGTTTGTTTCGTTTTGTTTTGAATTTCAACTTTCAAAGTCCAAGCTTTTAAATCTGGATCTACCTACTACAAAGAAAAAGTAAATTTACGCGTAACTAACTGTTCTTTTTTTTTTTTTTTTTCCATATTCTTTCCATATTTTGTCATTTTTTTTTCGTCTTTATTAATTTCTTAAATAACTTTTGCGCCAGGAATGTCCCTTTGCAGTTTACAGCTACAAAATTCCTCTAATTTTGGACACTTTTCCAACGCGCTCTTTTAAATTTGGACCTTTTTATTTTTTGGTTCAAAAAATTCAAGCTTTTGGCCACTAGAATAAGTTTGGAATCTTTAAATGTCTCTCAATGATTGACCCTCTTAATCAACTATCATGGACCCTTTGATTATGCAAATTGGAAATTAATTAGTCTTAATTAACTACAATTAAGAAGGATAATTGGAGTAAATTAAGCAACTTCAATGTTACATGTTTTGACGGTTCATCATTTGGTCTGATTTCAATTTAACTTAATTTACACTCAAGATAACGTAATTATTTGTGAAATGTTTTTATAATGAGAATGTAATAATTCGATTGTTTATCAAGCACTGATTTTAATACTTATATTTATTTTTAATTCTATGAAACTCTAGTCAAACCAAGTCAGTGGATTTCCAGGTTGTCAAATTATTTATGACAAGCTATAAATTGTCTCATGCAAAACAAATTATTCTAATAGAATAATTGAATCCTTCCCACTTAATATCTACCTAAAACCTAATCTTTAATTAATGGTCTTCCCTTTTAATAGTATACTAAATCTACAAAATAAACATTGCTATGTAAACGTCTTGACTTTTTATAAAATTCAAATCAATTTTTCCTGCATCAAAAGATAGTTTTAAAAAAAAATTCGGCGAAATTTCTTCCCCTAAAAAACTCTTAAAAATGGGCTTGTTTGATTTGAGATTCAAATATAATTTTCAAAATCTAAAATAAGATTCAAAATTTTGAGTTGTATCTTAATAATTTTAATATTTGAAATTGTATTTTATATAATATTTAAAAACTGTTATCAGATTAAAAGTTATAGAAACTGTGAATACGATTTTTAGTCGTTTTCTAATTATACACTAGTTTTTAAGATTGTATTAAAAAATTGTCTTGAAAATAATACAACTCATTTCTACTAAATGCATTTTCATAAGATTTGTTGTATCATTTGTTTTCAAAAATAGAAAACTGTATTTAAATTCTATTTCGAATGGGTTACTTTTTAACATTTTTTTTATTTTTTGACATGAAAAGACTTGGTCCGAATTATTTAAAAAAAAAAAAAGGAAAATAAATAATGTTATTTTAATAAGTTTAAGTTTGAAACCAATAGCTTTCACATCTAGATACATACTAATTGAAAAGTAATTAACTTGTTATTTAGTAGCTTACTATTTTTGGCCTTTGCTTAATTTCTCTGTGGTATCATAGATCTACTTTGAAATAAATATGTCCCTTCACACCCATGAAATTTCTCTTTACGAACACTTTTTCCACCCATCCATTATTTTAAAAATTAGATTCTCACTTTACATCTCTCTCAAATTCTTGAAAATACATGACCTTAATTATACTATGCATTCTCTCTAGCTAATGCCCTGATTTTTTTAAAATCTAGAATAGCATTCTGGACGTGATGTGGAGAATCCACGAAATGACATAATATTTTACATTTCTAATGAGAAAAATTTGGTTGAAATTTTATATTTTAGTGAATTCCTTAAATTAAAAATGTTTGTCTGAGTTTTTTAAAAGGATTAAAACGTCTGCACGGGATAAATTTCCCTGATTATATATCCATTTTCGAGACTATAAAAACTTATATAAGAAATGAAAGGGATTTGGCATCTAGCTTTAATGCTCAAATTCAATTAATGTTGTGGCACTAGAGAATTAATTAACTTGGAAGGTTGAAATGTGCATCAATAATGCTATTGTTTGGACCCTTTAGTTAATAATTTAAATATGAGGTCTATGACTATATTGTTTAAGAAGAAGAATAATAATACGAGTAAAGCAACTTCAATGCTGAGTGTCCAACTGTTCATAAGTTGGCCTCACTTGGGAAACACTTGACTACATGATTTATAGTTAAGAAACAACTAGGGTGTTATCTGTCAAATTTGAATCCTTCTTGTTTTGAGAACCATAAAATGAGAAAATGAACTTGTTTTCTCTACTTTAATTTTCAAAAAATGATAATGAAAACATTTTCAAACCGAACTCAAGCTGAAGACAAAGACATCAAATACAATTCTGAATACAATGAAGATCAATTGATGAATGAGGAATTGAACAATGACATAAATAAATGATTTTTAAAGTGGTTTGAATGCTTAGTGCAAATCTTATGTCTATTGTGATTGTTTTGTTTTGTTTTTTTTCTTTCTTTCTCTTTGTGCACTAATGCAGTTACAAAATATTAATTATAAATCAGATCCATAATTTAAATGAAAAGTAAGTTTATGTACTATTATAATAATAAATTTGTAAATAAAATTATCCTAAAAAATGACACGTTGCGTGAATCTGCACTTTAGGATCTACCGCAAGCACAACAAGAGAAATTAAAATACATTTTAAAAAAGTGATGGGATGATTTTATCAAAAAGACAATAACTCAATTGCTGGCGACGCACTAACTTTTAGATCCAATAACCTTCATAGATTTGGGTGTCCTATGCTTAATAATGCCAAAATTTTAATCCAGAAAATAATTGAACCTACAGAAGTCAAAGAAACCGGCAGTATTTTCATTGGGATCCAATGATTGTTATATTATGAGAATCTTGTGTTCGAGTTTGAAGAGAGACATCTATCACATTTATATAATTATCTTGGTCCATTAAGTATATAGGCTATTTCATAGCCCTAAACTTGTAGAATATTTCGTGGTCCTTAACATTAAACATGCTTTAATATTGGTTTGAATATATATTAACTCCAATTGCATCAATACGGAACTTGATAAAAAAATTTAGTACATCTAAATAACTTTGGCCGTGACAAACATAATTTCCTATATTTTTTTATCCCCTCATTCATTGAATATCACACTAGTCTCTTAGAATGAATTTTCTGACTTAGCCCCTGTGATATTTACAACAATAACAATGATAGTTCGATACCATAAAATTAGAAAATGAACTCCTTTTCTCTACTATCATTTTCAGAAAATGATAATGAAAGCAGTTTCAAATTGAACTCAAGCTGAAGACAAAGACAACAAATACAATTATGAACACAATGATAATTCCTTAAAAGAAAAAAATATAGAGATGTTGATGCTAAGATTTGCAGTAATGAGATATATGTAGGATCTATGATAGAATCTACCTAAGAGTTTGTATAAAACTCGTGATCTCGATATATGATCGATTGATGGATGAGGAACTAAACAATGACACAAAGAAACAATTTTTAAAATGGTTTGGATGCTTAGTGCAAATCTTACGTCTACTGTGATTGTATTGTTTTTTCTGCTTTCTCTTTGTGTACTAGTACGGTTACAAAGTATCGATTAAAATTAGATTCTTAATTTGAATGAAAAATAAATTTATATATTATTATAATAACAAACTTGTAAATAAAATTAACTTAAAAGAATGATATGTTGCTTATTAGTATTTCTAAAAAAGTTAGACAGTAAAATGTTATTATTCTCAAAATATTATTCTATATTTTTTAATTTCTTTTAAACTTCTTAAATTTGTTAATTTAATTAAACACCCCCAAATATTTTTTTTTTTTTAAATTATAAAAATATTTTGACTACCCTCTAACGGTGGTGATCGACTGTCCATATTTAATAAGTGGATTAAGAATATTTTTGTCAACTTTTAATATTTTATTATAAAAGTATTTAATAAATAAATAAACATCAGAGATGTTTTTATTAATTTCTAAATCCTTTGTCGTAATATCCATCCAAATTTTTTTTTTCCAAAATATTATTGCAAAAGTTATAGAATAATACCTTAATCCAGAAAATAATTGAACTTATAAAAGTCAAAGAAACCGGCAGTATTTTCAGCTGCTTCCAGCTAATAAACTCATGACGATGGCAATCTGACATCAACAACTTTAATAATTTCATAGATTTGGGTGTCCTAATTACTATGCTTAATAATTCCAAAATTTTAGTGCAGAAAATAATTGAACTGACAAAAGTCAAAGAAACCGGTAGTATTTTCAGCTGCTTCTAGGCTGCTTCCAGCTAATGAACTCATGACGAAGGCAATCTGACATCAACAACTTTAATAATTTTTTTTTCTAAGTTTGATAAAAAAAAAAAAATTATTTAAATTAATGGATAAATGGATTGCATAAACCCCTTTCAAACCCAATGGTTTTACCTAATATCAATTCTTTCTGGGTTAGATGATTAATTAACTCGATTGCATCAATATAGAACTTGATGAGTTTTTCTGTCATCCCTATGAATCACTAAATGTGATATCAAGGGCGGAGCTGTGTTCAAGTCTGAGGTGGTCGACCTACTCGGGACTTATTTTTTAAAAAAAATTGATATTGTTTTATTTTTTTTATACGATGGTGTTCAGATCAGCTTATATATACTTTAACTAATTTTTCAGGGTTCTAAAGTTGACAACCAGATAAATCTTCTCAGTAACCACCTCTATTAGGGTCTGTGAGGACTCGAACTCAAGAACCCATGTTAGACCATTTTATTCTTTTACGATGTTACCATCAGACCGTCCAATCGTAGTTATTGAATATCACACTTCAGTCTCTTAGAATAAATTTCTGACTTCGCCACTTGTGATATTTACAACAATATTTTCCATTTAATCTGTTATCAATTGCTGTTCAAACTAATTATGTTGACGTCTCCGCTTCTCTGAATTGAGTTTTGATTCTACATTGTTATTTAAAAATTTGACTGGCAACAGGAAATGTATAAAACTTTTAAAGAAAATGACCAATACTATTTTTCCACGATGAATTTAGATCTTTTTTAGGCTGCTATAGAAATTGTTATTCTAAACTCATTATTCTATGGCAACTTAGAAATTGTCTCATGAAAATCAATTTATTTTAATTAGAAATTTGTTAGATTTCACATAAATTTATTAGAAATTTGTTGTAGAAATATCAAAAGATATTTCAATGTTATTCATTTAGTGTTTTAAATCATTGAGACATCACTTAAATAATATTTGATTCATTTGATTGAATGTACCAAAAGAATTTCTGCCACAGAATTTAGTTAAAAATCTGGTTTGAAGAGTCAAGTCTTTATCGTTTTTAAATTGAGTAATGTTACTTTTACACCACCCTTTACACTATTTTCATTACACTATGACCATTTTATTAATAATAATTATATTATAATATTAAAAATTTAAAATAATTAAAAATTTATGTGGATGTGACATATGTCACATTATGATGTAATAAAAATAGTGTAAAAGGCGATGTAAAAGTAGCATTACTCTTTTAAATTAATCCTGCTTTAAACTTTAATTAGGTTGAAGTTTCCATTCTATGATTTAGACCTTGCTTTCAACTTTAATTGGATAATTTTTATGAAAGTCATTGGATGCTACTTCTTACTTTGAATTCTAACAAAATAATGCATAAAAATTCAAAGAAAAAGACTCATAATGTTTTTCCACAAAGAATTTATATGCTTTTTGGTTTTTCCACAATGAACTTAAATCCTTTTTGATCTACCATATAGACTATTGTAAATCCGTCGCTATAATTACACTACGAGTCGATATGACAAGTTTGGAAATGTTATGAGTCGATTAATTATTCCTTACTTATCAATCGTTCTTCTTTCAAGCCACGATTGTGATATGACAAGTGTGAAAATGTTACAAGTCTATCGTTAAAAGTTACGACATTAGAATCATAGTTTTTACAATGAACTTGCGGGTTCACGGCAACAATACTGTAACTGCACGTAGCCTGGGCTGAGCAAGACAATTAATCACAAGAATAAGAGAACAAATCACAAACCACAGATCAGCTTTGTTGCAGGTTTATGAGCATCAAAAATTTCTCTAAGAGAACCAGTTGGGAAATTTTCAACATAAAAATGGACTTTCCTGTATCATTGTTTTAAACAGGACCGGAGGGTAAACCGTTTTGCTGTCCAGGTCATGGTTCAATCGGTCCAACCGGTTGGACCGGTCGGTTGGACCGGTGACGTCAGCAATATTTATTTTTAAAAATTACATATTAACCCCTTACTTAATATATTACAAAAATTCTCCTAAAAAGTTCAAATTAGTCTCTAAAATTTTATTTATTCCAAAAATAACCCAATAAAATTACCAATAATCCCTAAAATTTTGATATATCTTCAAAATACCCCTATAAAATTACGAAGTAAACCTCATAATTTTAAAATATTTCAAAAAACCCCCCTGAGACTAAACCGGACCGGAGAAGCTACCGGTTCACGGTCCAACCGGTCCGAACGGCCGGTCCGGTCCGGTTTTTAAAACAGAGCCTGTATTGCCAAGGCAAAAAAGATCTCTTCTTCCTGAACTCCAAGCTTCAACCATAGAGCCTCTTCTCTCGACTCCTACCTTCTTATTCTCCCTCTTAAATATACTTTTATCACCAAATTTAACAGTGGGAAACATGAAACAGCATATAAACAACGCAACAGCTCCTTGAAGAATGAAACATTCGATCATGGAGACAACAAAAGAAGCTCTAACAGCATGGTTTCTATGTTTTCCAAAGTCATTAAGGAAATGTAAATGTTGACGAGAAAAAACAGTAATTGGAGTGCAAAAATGGTAGATTGTCAACCAAAAAAAAAAAAAAAAAAAAAAAAACCAGCTGGTATAATCCAATCTCTAGTTTTACAAGTCATTCTGTAGCCTGTACAAACTCCTAAAGTGTAGCTGCAAAATTGTTTGCTCGTCAGTTTGCACTGGAGGCAGCCTCCTTGACTTCTTCATATGCACCGGTCTCCTCATTATATGAGTACCTAGTATAGATAATTTTACAAAAATGGTGTGATCAAACTACAAGATTTTAATGGAATCTCACCGTTTAAAGTAAAAAAAAAAAAATTTCCATAATCTGCCCCAACCAAATTGCGTACATAATGCTTCTTTATCTAGTAGAGAGATACTCTTGATCTAGCAAGTTAAGAACTTCCAGCCTAACAAGAAAGTGTTTTCGAAATAACTGAGTCCAAAACGAGACCAAAATAGAATTATATACACTAAACTTTAAACCGTACATAAAAGACATAAATATGTAAAATTACCAGTTTTAGTTCAATGATTTAGAGAAACCCAATAACATGTGAAACTTTATAAAAAAATATTTTCTGAATCAAAATTTTCACTATAGTAATTAGCCTATTCATTATGATTAGTTCTATCAAGTTTCCCTTTTCACTACAGCAAGTTTGGCACGTTCCAGATCATATAGGTGACATTTCAGTGACCAAATAACCAGTATGAGCAATATTTTAGAAAAGAAAAAGATTGTACACATACCATTGCCCTGAAGCTGCTGAGCAATATAGTCCAGTAGATGGGTCGTAATAATAGCCCAAACTGCTACTGTAATAATACCTGAAGAACATAATTTCATGAAAATTAACTTCAATATCGCATAATACTTGGTGGATAGAAACAGATCCAGAAATAGACATTTGTATACAAAAATTGAAAAAAATACATCAAAAAGAATCAGCCCATAAATACGAAAGACCGAAGATATAGAACACATAATATTACATCAATGATATGGGATCTATAAAATGAACTGAGAGAGAGAGAGAGAGAGAGAGAGAGAGAGAGAGAGAATACCCAGAAGACTCATCATAGACATAATCAGTTTGCCAAGATCCACCTGTAGACAAAGCAAAATCAAACGGTACAAGGAATCCAAGGTCACATACATAGTAATTTATTATTCCATCTTAAAAACAAGAAAAAATTGACAATCAATGATAAAGCTTACTCTCAGAAGCTGTGTTCTGCGCATCTGATGATGATTGACCGATTGTACTTGAATTAGGCTTATCAGTAGATGGTTTATTGGTAGCATTTTCATCTTCATCCCCAAACATATCATACTCATCGTCTTCATTATTCGGCATTTCCGTTGCAGTTACATTGGCACTTGAGGTTCCCACTGCAGAGTCAGAGAACAGTGAAGCAGTAGATCCAGGAACAATTACATCAGATAACACGTACTTCTCCCCATTTGGATCATGATTTTCCTGTCCAGCATTCACAGATGGGCCCTTTCCCCTTGACTGAGCTAACCTCTCATACCCCTCTGGCAAAAAAATAATGCATTAAACATAAGCATTCATGGTATAGACAATGGGTGATAATTTAAACTAGCAGGACCGCAAGGGTGTCCATTTGATCTATTGTGATAACAAAAATAATCCACATAAAACTGGTTAACCAAATTTGAAATGTTGATCAAAGTGCAGATGGCAATACATTTCAAAACTAAGGATGAAAATATATGTTTTCTTTTTTAACTAAATGTTCATATGAAAACATGACATGGGAATGATAGTGTGTAAAGTTCGTCAAACACAAACCAAGGGTATGAGTTATACATCTAAACTAGATTAGTAGGGCACTTCACCTACTTCACCTATTGAGAATATGGGTTGTCACAAAATTGTAAACAAGATATTTGTCTCCACTAGTGTTTGAAACTGCTTATGGACAGTTATAAGCGAATGCACCTTCATTTGCTTAGAAGTATGTAAAGCAATTTGAGGGTGCTTTACAAATTTTTGTTATAAAACTCACACACATGCAAGCTTGATTTTTTTTTATGACTATCCTAAGCCCAAAAAAATACACAATCAAAACTTAATATATACGTTTAATAGTCCAAAAGCACAAACATAAGCACAAAGTCGTCTTCTTGTATCTAGATTTCAGAGAGTTATCAGGTCTGACATCATCTATCAGGATGAACACAACACTTGTGCCCACATCTTTCATAAATTTTTAACAAAGATAAAATGACATTATACAACGTTAGGAATCAACATATCCTAGAAGATCATGCATACCCAACCAATGATGCTTCTAACAGAACATAAGGTGGCTGGAAACAAAATAATAAGATAGAAACAAAAAGTATAAGAGATATTGCACAAACCTGCCTCACGCACAAAAGTTTCACGCTTGTCATTATACACATCTGCAGAGCAAAAGTTCAAACCGACAAGTGATTATTAATGATAATAAGCTTATAAAGGAAGAATCACATTTCTCCTTAAGAGACAAGGAACCCTGATGGCTGGCAGCTATATGTATGATCTAATATTAATATACAAAGAAAATCTTCTCTCTGGTGTGGTCCCCTTTTAAATCGCAATATATGTTTTCCATTAGTATCACTCCTCTAACAACAAATACAAGTTCGAATATGACTTTGGTGGTTTAAATATGGTTATGATAATTCATAACCAAACAATACTGAAAAAATCCAGCCATGTTTCCTGAACTTCCTCGACATTAAAATTGTACTTTGAAAATTTTAAATAAGCCCCACAAAACAAGAAACTTACTAAATTCACCATTCTCCTCCATCAGCTTCATGGCATCCTCAGTTAACTGGTCAAATACACGCTTTGTCTCAGCCGACATCTTTTCCTTCTTGTTATTTGAAGTTCCCTTCAGCCTTCTCAAAGCTTGTGTAACCTGTCAGAGCACCTAACTACATTACTTCATGTAGACAAATCAGTAGATGTAAAATTCTTCACAATTTCGAAGTTCAAAGATCATATAAATGAATTTTAAATGGCATTTAAAGTTTGGCCAGAACCCAGAAATAACCCAAATGCTTCTAAATATGTCTCAAAAGTCCAACATTACCCTGATCAAATCCATCCACAAAAATTTGAACCATGCAAATTCAAAATCACACACTTCTTGTAGTCTAAATACCCTATTCCTCTATCCTACTATTGTTAAAGACACAATGACTACAAAGTGCCAGCTTTTGAAACTTATTAAGCTAAAAACATGGCTTATCACAAATAGAAATAGATCCACTAATGGAATAAAGTTTATTTATGCGATAGTCATGGATAACTCAGAAATCCTATGTCAACAAGACTGATTCTGTATAACCACAAACCTAAACAAACAACTCCTGTTTATATCCATTGCAGATAACAAGTGCAAAAAGAAGCATAAATGTAGCTGGCTTTCAGCCCAAGATCAAAACAAAACCAACTTTAGAGTAATTAAAAGTATAGAATTTGGAATCCAACTGATAAAGTGAAAAATATCAGCAGATTGGCAGTGCCACTCTAGTGAAGCAGCCTAGTATAAAGCAATTACACAAAGCATATACTTGATATTTCTAGATACGGTTTCAAAAGAACCACGAGACTAAATAAAAGAATAAATAAATATTCAGAAACAATGTGAGTTTACAGTTTCTCCCGGCTCAAGCACGTTGGCAATACGCCTCTTTATCACTCCTAGTTCTTCAGAAGTGAGGTCAGGGATATCATCTTCATCTTCATTATCAACAGGTTTATTATGTGTAACAGCAGTGCCAGCAAATCTTTGATCAATTTCAAGACTATCAAGCCATGCATCCTGCAAGAATCCATATGAAGTTATAAACAAGTCCAATCTTTGTATAGAAGTGTACATAAAAAACATAAAACTTACCTTGATTTCATTATAATTGACATATTCAATGAAATTTCCGTCTGCATCAAAATAACCCTCTTCTCTCTCCTTGTCCAGATTAAAGGGTTCTATGTGAATCCCATCATCAACGAAATTTTCATTATCCTGTCAAAAGAAATTTCCCATCATTGTTTATCATTTTCCCAGAACCAATAAATGGTAAACCAGACAACAATCCAGGCTGTAAAATGTTGTTTATTCGGCAAAGAAGCCTTCCAAAAATTATAAATATGACATATATCAACATGAGACTATAAACTACAAACCCAGTTACTGAACTTCTAACAGAGAACCAGATAATTAAGGATTATAAACAACGAAGTGCAGTCAACAACTCCTCCACAGTGCTGATTGATGAGACATTAAACAAGAATTTTTCTTGTTTATTCGATGTAGACATATATATGTGTCATGTAATTCGTAAGGGTTTCATAGGTTCATAGATGAACTAAACTTTTTGAAAATAAAAGACATGTATATTATTATACATTTGCCTTAAATGCATATAAATGGGCACGATACGGGTATTTGATGAATATTTACCAAGTATTATACTTAGTAGAACAGGGGAAGCAGCATTAAAAGGATTTGATTTTCCTAATGGTATATTTTTTTCAATAAAATTGTCACTCACGCACTAAATTTTTATTAAAACTTGCTGCATCACCAAGCCTAAGCTCTAAGAAGTATTATCCTCCAACCAGCCTTTATTGATAGTTTAGTACACATGATCATTATGACTTATTAAAGAAGGGGATGTGTAAAGAAAAAGGGACCTCATAAGTCTCTTCAGCAGCTGAGATATCATTAACAATGCCTCTACTTTCTTCACTAAAAAGCTCAAAAGTCATTTGGGTCCTACGATTTGCACGCTCCTTGGCAGCAAGACGAGGATCTGTTAAGTCACTTTGGCCATCATCAACAGCCTTTCCTTTGTCCACCACCACTTCATCCCCAGGCTTCACCTTCTTACCCTTGGGAAATCTCACCCTTTTCTGCCTGTAAATTAAAACATATCACAATCTATGCAGAACCTCACTTCACCAGTAAAAAAATCTCCGCCACTGGCTCAATAATACAGTGTAAAAATGATAAGCTTTACCAATCACAAACTGTATATCGCCAAAAATATTCAACTGTATATTACCAAAAATAGTTTTTATTACGTACTTACTGAACTTAATTTCGAAACCTGGACCCTACCGAACCCTCAATTTACAGAAGCAAGAAATTTATGGCTACTTGTAAGGTAGGTCATGGTAACAAAGTTTGCCCATTTTCTCCAACCCCACAAGCTTTCTTACTATCCGTATTTCGATACTAATCTAAGATTGAACATCACAAATATGGCGTTGTGTGTTACCAATACGATGTTGATCTCAGTAATGGTACTGGACTCTAGCATTTCCCACTACAAAAATAACAACTTGGGCAATAGTCTCTCACTAAAAACTAGCGATAAATTACTAAGCTCAAGTGTTTTCAACTCAATTGCATAAATATATCATATCTCTACAACTACCTCAAAGAAAAAAAACCCTAAAAAATCCTTAAAAAACAACAATATTTTTCTAACAGCAGGCTTCATATTTTGCTGAGAAATCAAGAACCCAGATGAAAATTATTATCAAATTGAACATTAGATTAAAGATTTAAATTACCAAAGAGAGCTGGAAAATTAAAAAGAAAGATTAGGGTTTTACATGGGTTGCTTGCTGGAATCTTTTTCCTCAAAGAACTGGCGCTTACGTGAGGGCTTATCTTCCATTGGAACCGACTGTATGATAATACAAAAGAATCAGTTGCAGCTGATTTTTCTGAGGTTGAAGACGATGATGACAGAGTCGGTGAACATTCTAAAATGAAACGTCTAGGTTCTGAGTTTTGAAAAATGACCACTTTATTTCATAACCTTCAAAAGTAACTACTACAATCTTAAAAATGCGAAAAATGAGAAAATATGACCATTTTATATTGTGAACTTAAAAACTAGCCAAATTGTCATTAAAAAGACCATAATACCCAAAAGTTGGAAACTTCTTAACCCTCTTCTTTAATACATATAGGAATTGCTTTGCTGTATTGCTGGCATGATAAAGTTGTCATACACCGTAGGATCTTTTTAATCTTTGAGAAATCAACGTTTGTTCAATATTGTTATTGAACAACATAATTTTATTTATAAATAAAACACTTTTTAATCCTATTTATCAATAGATTTCGGGATTCATTATATAGTTACTATGATACTGTTGTCGGGTTAATATCGGAGATATTAGGACATTATCTTAGATTTTGATAAGTATCTCTTTAAAATTTTCTTTAAACACCCTTCTATTGAGGAATTTTCTAATAATAATTCAATTGTTTAAATTCCATTCATTTTCATTCACTATTTTAGGGAATTCTAGGTTTTTCTTTTGAAAAATGCTATCCTTCCAAAGACTTATACAAAGAAGGCTACAAAGTGAAGGAAAAAAAAAGGAAAAAAAGAAAGAGAGAGAAAGAGAAATCATGAAGATCAAGGGTAGAGGTTGTCTTTGTACACCCCCTTTATATTTATCTTTGTAAGACTAGCATTTCTCTTTTCTTTTCCCGGGTTTAGAAATTAAAAAATGGTCATTTTTATAAACAACCCTTTCTTAACAAATGGCAAGGGTATATATGTTAGTCCTTAATTAAAATAATAATAATAATAATAATAATAACCATCCCATTTAATCATATTAAACAAGTAATTAATCCTGAAGAAAAACCAAGGTTTACACCTTTCATTTATTAAGATTTCTCAACATTGTTGTGGATATAACCACCAAAACATTAATTAATTCAGAAGCAAAACCCACTTAATTTTCCTTCTGAAATCATGCATTACATAAATTTATTAAAAAAATTTAACCTATGGTTGCATCAAGCTCTTGGTTTTCCCACACCCCATGTTCGCCTGAGGCGGCACCGAGACCATCGAGGATCCTGACTCAAACAATACCAACATTCCCAGCAAGAAATGCGCCTCAATGTGGCAATGAAACAGCCAGATTCCAGGATTATTCGCCTGGAATCTCAACGCCGTCCACCCGTACGGATGCAATGGCACCGTGTTCTTCATTATCGGGTTCTTGAACTTGTAGTTTGCATCATTATTTTTCATGTCATATTTACCATCTCCGAATCCCAGCACCCAGAAATCATGCCCGTGTAAATGCCAGGGATGCGTCTCGCTGTTGTTCGCAGTCATCGTGTTCGCATTCTGTAAAATTACATCCACTGTTGAGTTGAACTCCAGCCTGTAAATGGATGAGCTTGTCGTAGCATTGGTGTTGTTTTGGACACTAAAAATGTCATAGTTTTCGTAGTCGTAGCTCTCAGGCGCCGGCGTCTGATCGAACACATTGAGCCAGTTTTTTTTCAGGGCTATGAGGTAGGGGGTTTCCGGGAGAGTGTGTGACACATTGTTGATGGCCCATTTGGTGTAGCCATCGACCTTGTTTTGAGTGTTCAAGAGGACGATGACTTTGTCAGGATGCGGTGGGATTTGGATGTAGCCCTGGCGGGCCTCGATGGCCAGGCTTTGGTTTTTCCGGGCGTCTACGTCGTTCCAGAGAGGCCCTGGAGGCGGAGTTGTGTTGGGGGTTATGAGGTTCTGGTTGGGATTGTAGTTCAGGATGGCTTGGCCGATTGGTGTGGAGGCATTTCTGCTGACTACGTTTGTGGTGATCCAGTAATTGCTGGAGGAACTTTGATTGGCTGTGACTAAAACTGAGTATGTTTCTCCTGCGTAAATGTACAGGTTTTCTGTGGCAAATGGCTCCACGTAGTTGCCATCAGCTTCAACCACAGTCATGTTGTGGCCCTGGAAAAAAAAAAAAAAAAAGTAATCCTTGGAGTTAATCGTTGATATACTTATGATAAAGCTGGCCGGCTAGTTCTATAAGTGCTTCTAGCTTTTACAAAAAGCACTTAAAAGGGTGGTATAGTGTCTGCTCTGTGTAAAAGTTGATATCAAAATATTGAGACTCAGTCTGCGTTGTAGTTTGAATGAAAACTTTAGATGTGGATGTACTGACTTTTTTAAAATTTGAATCAATTTTCTTAATGTAAAATATACATTAAAAGACAAAATATCATCTGGAATTCAAAATTTTTTGTCACCTAATGCATTCTTCATGTCAAAATGATAGTCTAAATTTTAATATGCATAAAAGAATGATTTTTGTTTTAAGAGTAAACGACTCTTCCCACTCAAGGTTTGCGTTAACAACACTTTGCCACCCAAAAAGTTTCAGAATATCATTTTCCCACCCAATGTTTATATTCTATTAATATCCAAAATACACTTCACTTTCTCAAGCGGCGTTCGGTAAGTTAGCAAGAGCTAAGGTAAGGGAATTTTTGTAGAGTGGAGATCAGTGAATCAAATGGTAGTGATCGATTGAATATTCGCTACCAGAATCAGACGGAAATCGGCTAAGAACAAGAAACCCTAGTTTTGTGATAACTAACAATTGACAAGAAATAAAGTGTCGAAGTAAGAAGGGTTTTGTAGAGAGGAGACCAGAGGTTCAAATAGTGGTGACAGAAAAAATTTTCGCCATCAAAATCAACTTTGAATAATAACAAAATATTAACTTTAGTTGAAAAAGTGGTATTTTGAATTTTTTTTTTTGGTGGAAAAGGCTCATTAAGGCAAACTTTGGCTGGTCGTTTATTCTTTGTTTTAAATATAAAAAAGACAAAACTTTACGTTGTGTTGCGTTTTACTGAGTTATAAAATTTTATCTATTTTGTACCATTGTCGAGGGCATCTATTAGTGATCAAATGATTATCATTTCATCGACTTTTTCTAGTTTTTATTGTAAAAATAATAAAATTAATTACCTCTATTTGGAAACTAAGAGCTGATAAAGAAGTTAAGCTAGCAATTCTGAATCTGTATGTTTCTCCAGGGAATACTGTAAATGAAGATGGAGCGCATTCAGGATTTGTTGCATTACAAACACTGGCGTCAAGATTTGCACAATCATACTTTCCTCTTCCATTTATTAGAAGCGACTGAAATTGATGTTACACATGCAAAACACAAGTTAGCAAAAGTGATTGTGGAAAAGATCTTCGTATATTAAAAACTGTAAAATTTTGTTATTTACCTGAGGCTCCCCAATCCAGACATAGGGTATAGAAGTCAGGCCTGTGGCTTGCTCATAAGAGCTTGAATGGTACCAATCACTTAGGACAACTCCATGCTCACCGTCATATGTAAAGGGCTCTTTGGTTCCTGAAGGAACAGAGACTTCAATCAAACCATATAGCCCAGATTCTCTCTGCATTCCGTAATGCGAATGATACATATACGTTCCTGCCTGTTTACAACAGTTTAAAACTATCAAGTAAACGTCTAACATTAATATTTAAGTCTAACAGGTCACCGGTTGATAGATAACAAAAAATTAATTAATAAAAACGTCTGAACACGAACCTTATCGACAACAAATTGGTAAACAAAGGTGTCACCAGGCATTGTTCCACACTGTGAAACTCCATCTGTTCCATCACTCCAAGGAGTTCCAAACTGACATGCATGCATGAACACAAAAATTAACTTCCTTTCTTTATTAAATTCCATCATTAAGAACAAAACTTTACGGAAAAATAACATTAGATTCCACTGATGACTTGGAAGCAGAACATTTTACAGATTCCAAATGTCTGTAACTTAGATAAGAAGAAAAGCATATAAATATATGAAATATTCTACCTGTCTGATGCCATGCCAATGGATAGCAAGATTTTCCATCAACAAATTATTCTTAACATTGACGATGATTGTATCGCCTTCGGTTGCATTAATCGTAGGCCCTGGAGTCTCTCCATTGATGGCAATAGCAAGTTTCTTGTAACAGTCAAGAGACTTGTACTGATAGCTCACCTCCCATGTCAAATTATGAACTTCAGCCTCAGCCAATAAACATGTGCCCACCAGGCAGAAAGCAAGAAAAATAACACGAGATTTTGTGCCCTTGAAAAATAATGTTTCTCCAGCCATTTGGCGGAAGTATTTCAGACTCCTGAAGCTTGGAAAACTACAAAAAATTGTGATTGTGTGAGACTTGCCTTACTGATTGTTCTTTATATAGAAACGAAGACTTAAACAGGAGTCACTCCGAGGGGGCAATTTGAAATAAATAAAGGTTATCTCCCTGAGATTTGAGCCCATGCACGTGTTGCACGTCGGAACTTTCATTGCATACAGACTATGATTTAGAGAAAATTGATTGAAACGATACAGACCAGATCAGCATAAGAAAAAACGTTGATATTTATCACATCAAGTTTCTTGACAGAGATTTAGACAATTTAAAAATATATTTTCGCACGTTATATTTGATAGCATGGTAACATTCTAGTTCTGTATATAAAATAACATCTTGTTTGGACGTGCATGGAAGGAGAGTCCTAGCGTGTTCCTCAAAACTTCATTCATTATTTAAATAATATATTTTATCTTGGAAGAATAGGTATTAAATCTTACTAAGCAACTACTTTCTATGTACATGCCATCAACATGGATTAAAGATTCATATTATTTTCATTCTATTATTTTGTTAATGTTAACATTGAAATTAGGTCGAAAAAAAAAAGTTTGAGTTTTATTATTCCTTGAAATTTTGGTGATTATTAAAAAAAAAAAAATTGCCATTATTAAATAATAAGTCTCTTTATAATTTACAAATTCACTGTCTCTTATGTGTACTTTTGTGTTCTTTTTAGATATTGAACGTCGTTATTGATATTAACAATGGATTATTACAACCTGTAACACTAAAAAACCAATTTTTTCATTTAAACTTTTTGATTTGAAAATTGTAAATTTTACTTTTTAATCGTGACATGTTTTTACGAATGATTTACCATTCCGTTAATTAATTCAAATTGGAAATTCTAAAGTTGTACTACACTACATATATAAATTTTTACTAATGTACTTTACTTTGTACTATATATAAAACTTATTATAAAACGAAACGTGTGACTCTAATCAGAAGCATGGGAATGCTTTCCCACAGCTTGATTTGAATATCTTTTTACTTTGCTAGTTGATTCAGAAGTTCAAGTTGAGGTTGGTAAATGAGGTAATTAATTTTCATAAGTATGTTCAATTAGTTAGGAAAGTTTCTGATAATTCATTAGAGATTTGAATTTTTTTCTTTAAACCTCAAGAGAGATTCTTTATGAAGTTTTAAATCTTCATAAAAAAAAAAAAATTAAAAAATTATTCTAAAAAAAAAATTGATCATTCTTCATATTTTTTTCTTCAAAACCTTTTCGCATAAAAAATAGTTTTAGAACAATCTTCTGTCAGTTACGCTGTAACATTATTATTCTTTAATAATCATAAATTCTCAAACTTGTTTTACAAAACCAGGTTCAAAAACTGAACTGTTATTATTATCAAAATATTACTAAACCGATAATTACTCGTATTATAAGTAGAATTTTTGAAGTAGTACTATGCATTTGTCAAAACCCTTCAATTTTTACACTTTTTCATTTTCCTGTACTGTTTTTTTTTTTTTTTTATAATTTTTTAAACATAATATAAATGGTTTTAATTGTTTGATTGAAATAAATGACAAGTAGTTTTTATGGTCAAAATAACACTCTTGGAAGAGTAGGTATTAATCTCAACAAGCAAGTAAGCAACTACTTCAGTACTTCCTAGTTCCTTACCTACCTAAAAATCAATTAATATTATTTAAATCTTAATCAATACTCTTAACCCCACCTACCTTTAATTAACATGCCTTACACATGGATTAAAGATTCATTATTATTGTCTTTCTGTTATTTTAAAAAAAACTCTCAATTATTATATAATAATCCTCTTTAATTTACAATTGTTCACGGTCTCTCATGTCAGCGTCTGTATATTTTTTTTTTTAAATGTGAACATCGTTTATTGATATAACTACTGGATTATTATTAAGGGTGTGCAGGAATTTAGGGTAGAACTGGAACCGACGGATACTTGGGGTTCCAGTTTCGGTTTCCTTCCTGGAATTGGCCCCCACAAGTCGGTTCTGGTTCTAAAAAATTGGAACTGGACTCCCTGGTTCTACCATTGCAAGAACCAAGAATTGAAAATGAAACCGAAACCGAAACTAAAGCCAGAGTCTAGTAGTTCTACTAATTGTATAAATTATTCTCACCAAAGAGACGGCTTGTGGTTTCTTTGTCTGAGGCAGTGACCAAACATCGATTGATTCTTGTGATTCTCTGACGAATTACGCTGTTCGTTTCTGTGAGAGCTTTCGTGGGTCCTTGACTCTCACACTCTTAACCTCTTCTTGTTTCCCCATGAAAAAATTCTAGCTCCACTGATGTTTAAGATTAAGCCTCGTCCCATGAAACTTTGCTCTGTACCATGTTAAACATCCAAGAAAATATAAAAGAGGAGGCTAGGGTTTCATTGATATTGCACAATTCAATTGAATACAAGTATTTTAACCTAAAAAAAGATATATATATAGGCTAACAAAGGAAATATGAAAAGACAACTACCCTTAAAAACAAAAACAAAATAACCCATATTTCTTAACAATGATTTACTAGCTCTTTGGTTCCTCTCTCCTCTCCTACCTACGACCAAAACAAACCCTAAAATCTGAGCTTCTTTGCACATAAGATTGATTTCTTGATCTTTTGGAAGTTTTTTTCTTTTCTATTGGTTTTGAAAGTTTTTAATTAGACTGGTTTTGAAGTGTTTTAAGACCATTACTTGCCAGAATTTTATACACTAGTTTTGACTATCTCAAAAAACCCCAGAACTAATGTAATGTATTTTGAGGGGTTTATAAAACACCCCAAATTAAGGTGTTTTGTTGGTTTTAAAATTTATTTTCACATACCCTATTCACTATCTCAATTATATCCAAAAAATTTAACCATTATGCACGTCTCAACCATATTAAATACAAAATATTTAGCAATCATAAAAAAAAATATATTAAAATCTCATTTCTAGATGCTTTTTGGAGAAATGGAGTTACAATTTTTCAATAATTCTAGATGTTGCAAAGAAGGCGAAGAAAGATAAGAAGACTTTATCACATTCGAAGTTATAAAATACTATAAGTAAAAAAACAAATAAGAACTCTTACCTATATGAAAAAACAAAACTCCCATATTGGTTAGAGTTGGGGTATTTTTATGGCATATATGTAAATTTATCATTTAAAAAAATGTTAGAACTGTTGAAAAAATAACTCTCAAGCACAGGTTGGGTGTTTTAAAAACTGCTACTAAATACCCCTCAAACACCCGATGGTTTACCCTCAAACCGTTACGATGGTTTACTCTCATAACCGCTATCATGAACTCTCAAGCGACCCTTAAGGATCCCAAAAGTGAAAAAAAAAAAAAAGATGATAAAAATTAGGCACAAGAAAACCAAAAAAAATAAAAAATAAATAAAATTTTTTGTGATACCCATTTTGATTCTTTGGCTAATTCAGTGGTTGTTGAAAAAAAAAAAAAAAATCTAGAAACCCAGAATGAACTCAAACAGGTAGTGAGGTACCGGGTAAAGAAAGGAAGAAAGCAACACTATAAATGAGAAAATAAAAAATCAAGAAGAATACCATACATGTTATGTTATAGAAAAACTGAAAACATGAGAAGCTTCTCATGATAAACAACAACAACAACTCTCTCTTCTTTATCAAGTCCTCTGCTTTCTCTCTGAAACACAAACAAAACGACTTAATTTTCCAAGCACTTGGAAGTTGGAACATTTATAATTTTGCAAACACTGCAGAATGCATTTGTAATTTCTTTAAACAGTGGGGTGTATTATAATTTTTACAAGGTTTATTCATCATTTTTGTAACTAATAAAGTTAGATTTGTATTTTCCCATGTACTCGGAACTGGAACCGAACCAAAACCTGTGTTTCAGCTCCGATTCCATGGAATTTGAGTAGGTACCCGAACCCGCCAATCTCCAGTTATTACTACTACGAACACTTAAAAACCCAATTTTCACATATACTTTTTTGAATAAAGATGACTGACAAACACTTTTCACAAACTTCTCTCACTGACCTGGCGTGGCACCTCGCAATTAGTCAGCTAATTGGTCAGCAGGACCTATTGTTGGATAGACGAAATCCATTGTGAGCTAACACGTTGTGTTTGTAAGAGAAAGTAGTGAATGAGTTTAGGAGTGTGTAGTATTCTGAACTTTTTCAGATTGAAAAATGGAAACGGTCAAATTTTACCTTTTTAACTGCATAGTTAATAGTGACATGTTTTTTCAAATTATAATTTTACCCGTGGGTTAATTGATTCTATTTAGAATACTAAACTTGTACTACATAAAACATATATATATTTTTATTTGATGTATTTTAATTTGTATTATATTTACAAAAACTTATTATAAGTACGAACAATGATCTCTTAATCACAGCATGGCAAATCTTTCCCACAGCTTGATTTGAATAAGTTTTTACTTGCTAGCTGATTCAGAAGTTCAGTTAAGGATGGTTAATTAGGTAATTATTTTCATTAAGTATGTTTAGTTAATTAGGAAGTTCTGATATTTTCATTATGAGATTTTAAAAGGTTTTATTTTTTATTTATTATTTTGAAACATCAAGGGAGATTCTTTATGAAGTTTTTAGAACAATCTTCTATTCAGTTATGCTGTAACATTATTATTCTTTAGATAATTCAAAATTCTCAAACATGTTTTACAAAGCCGAGTTCAAAGTTGAATTGTTACTTATTATCAAAACATTGTTGAACCGATAATTGCTCGTATTATAATAGAACTCTTAAAGCAATACTTAACATTTGTCAAACCCTTCAATTTTTACAATATTTTTTTTTTTTCCCCTGCATTCCTTCGTTTTCAATACAATTTAATTTGTCGCATGTTTTTTTAATCTTTATTGTCAATTCAGTCATCTCGATTAAAAAAAAGGTAAGAAAATAATTCAAAGGTCAATAATGTATTATTTCCTACTCTTTATCTGTTTTTCCATCAAAATAAAGTGATGATTAGACACCAGTTCTATTCTTTATTTTCACATAATTA